CACAACGCACACGCACACACACTACACACGCGCACACGCACAACATCCCAGCACCGCGCACGCGCAACGCGAACGAGCACAGCGCACGCGCAAGCGCACGCGCACGCGCAGCGCACGCGGCACGCGCACGAGCACGCCGCCCGCGCACGAGCACGCGCCACGGCGCACCGCGCACGGCGACGCCACGCGGCACGCGCACGCGCACGCGCCACGCACACGCACCACGCACCATGGGCAAGACACGCGACACACCCAACACAACACGCGCACGCCACACACACACACACACACACACCACACACACACGCACCCAACGCCCCCACGACCCACGCAACCACGAACACGCCAACGCACCCACCCCCAAGCAACCCACGCACGCAAGCAGCACGCACGCTACGCACGCACGCACGCCCGCACGCACCGACACGAACGCACGAACGCACGCACGCACCACGCACGCAAAGCACGCACGCACGCAAAGGACGCACGCACGCACGACACGCCGCAAAGCACGAAAGCACGAACACCGCGAGCGCTGCGCGCGCGGCGCGCCCCCGCGCCACGCGCACGCGAAGCGCAGCGCACGCGCCACGCTGCGGTGCGGCGCGCTGCGGGATGCGCACGAGGGTGCACGTTGGCGGCAAGCCCTCTACACACGCAACCCCGCAACACGCCCACAGCACACACGCCACACACGCACGCACCGCACACACACACACACACCCACCACGCACCACACACAACACCTCCACACCCACGCAAAACAAACACAACACCCACGCACGCACGCACGCCCGCACGCACGCCGCACCACAACGCGCAACGGACACACGCACACACGCACAACAAGCACCACACGCACACAAGCACACACGCACACACGACACAACGCCACACGGCACACAGGCAACACGCACACCGCACACACGCACACCCGCGCGCACACACGCGCGCACACGCACACGCACGCGCGCGCGCACACGCACACGCACACGCACACGCACACGCACGCACGCACGCACGCACGCACACACGCACGCACACACGCACGCACACACGCACGCACCCACGCACGCACCCACGCACGCACGCACGCGCACGAACACACGCGCACGCACACACGCGCACGCACACACGCGCACGCACACACGCGCACGCCCACACGCGCACGCGCACACGCGCACGCACACACGCGCACGCACACACGCGCACGCACACGCTCGGTGGTTAGAGCGCAACGCGCACAACGGAACACCACACTGTGCGCACGCACACGGCGCAAGCACACGGTGCACGCCACGTGCACGCACACGCGCACGCACACGCGGCACGACCGCGGCACGCCAAACGCGCACGCACACGCGGCAAGCACAGACGCCGCAACACGGCACGCGCCGCACACCCGCACGCACACACGCACGCACCACACGCAGCACACACGCGCGGCACAACAACGCACGCACACCACGCACGCACACACCGCACGCCACACACGCGGCCGCACCAGGCAATTGCACGCACGCACGCTACGCACGCAAGCCACGCACGCATGCACGCACACACGCACACACGCGCACACGCGCACACACGCACACCCGCACACACGCGCACACACACGCACACGCGCACACACGCACACGCGCACACACGCACACCCACACACCCGCACACACACACACACACACACACACACACACACACACACACACACACACACACACACACACACACACTCTCACACACTCACGCACACACGCACACACGCACCCACACGCACACGCACAAGCGCACACACACACACACGCACACACAGCCACACACGCACAGCGCACACCCCTCGCCCACACGCGCCCACACGCCCCCCCACACGACCCACACGCCCCACAAGCACCACACGCACACACACGAACAACCACACGCACACACCCGCACACACACGCACACACACACGCACACACACGCACACACACGCACGCACACACACGCACACACAAGCACACACGCACACACCTGCCCACAGCCACACACACGCCTTACACACGCCAACACACACGGCCCACTATTTACGCTACGCTACACATACTACGCGCACACACACGCACAACACGAACACACACGGCACAACAAACGCAAACACAAGCACTACACACGCACACACACGCACAACACGCACACACACGCACAACACACACACACGCACACCGCACACGCACGCACACCGCACGCACACACACGCACACGCACGCACACGCACGCACACGCACACACGCACACACCACGCACACCCACGCACACACACGCACACACACGCACACACACGCACACACACGCACACACACGCACACACACGCACACACACGCACACACACGCACACCCACGCACACCCACGCACACCCACGCACACCCACGCACACCCACGCACACCCACGCACACCCACGCACACGCACCCGCACACGCACGCGCACACGCACGCGCACGCGCACGCGCACACACACCCGCACACACACACACACACACACACACACACACACACACACACACGCGCACACACACACACACACACACACACACACACACACACACGCGGACAGAGATGAACATGTTCGATTAAGGTGCAGTCCACAACGGCGGCAAAGGCTTCAGCGCCAGAACCTGCCAGTGGTTGCCTTGGGTACTGCGGCAAGACATCCATGCCTGAATTGAGTGTGCCGCTGTGACGGGCGCTGGATTTTGTGAGTCTATGTCAGTGCGTGCATTTGTGTTTTTCCGTGGTCAGGTGACCCCAGCAGGACTGGGCTGGCTGAACTGGAAAAGTTGCCCTCCCTGTTACATCACTGTTTGATACTGCCTGTTGCTGCCTCCTGACTTTCCTCCGAAGGAACCTCGCGCAGGGAGAGCAGGCGCCCGAGGTTAAAGCTCCCACGCTTGCCCCTCCCGTGGTGCCTTCGCTCTTTCCGCCGTCACTGTCTCCGCCACCGCGGCCATCGCTGGGCCCCTCAAGAGCTCAGAGAGAGAGAGAGCGAGATAGAGAGAGAGAGAGAGAGAGAGCGAGAGAGAGTGACAGGAGATGAGATGCGCAGACCGTACCGCGACATGAGCAGGGTAGCAGGATGTGTGAATGCCACTTATTGTCATTGAGAGTCACAGGGCACAGAGATGTGCAGAGACACGCCTAGTGCTCAGAGGCTTCCATTGTCTCCGGCTCCCGGACTTCCCGGCAGAGAGGACTTCTACTTCGCACAACTGCTTCGTCTGATTTTGCAATGCCTATGCTAGAAGTCTAAAAGCAGGATGCGCTGGTCACCGGTACCACAGCCACTGCCCAAGACATGTCAAGACATGGTGCGGAAGGTGCAGGTAGCGGGGCAGATGGCCTTGAATCAGCTCGCACAATCGGATCACCATTCAGATCAAACCTGCAAGTTAGCTCAGCCGATTGGCACGGTTCGGATCCCGGACAGCACCAAGATAATCAAGGTTTTCAGCCAAGCCGACACACTGGGTTCAGGCCTCCCATGTCCTAGGCTTTAGGGGTTTACCGTTTAGGGTCTTCATCGTGCCCGGGCTGCAAGCTAGATGTCAGCAACTTTCCCAGCCACCTGTTACAGGCCCGGATGCAAAAAGCTCCGAGTTGGTTGTTTTCTTCAGCAGTCGCAGGTTTAACGTTTAGCTCTTCCCCATCATGGAAGAAAAGTGGTTTATAAGAGAACTCAAGGTCCTGAGTTGTTCTTCGGCTTCGGTGCTTAGGGCTCAGTGGTTCGGGGGCCGAAATCTGTGTTGGCGCAAATCCCCTATGCTCTTGGGTTCCAAGGAGTTTGCCCCACCCAGATTTCGGCACCTTTTTTCTGAGACCCAAGCACCGGAACCGAAGAAAAGCTGATGAGCTTCAGTTCTCTAATACGTCCCACTATTCTTCAATGACAGGGAAGACCTAAACCATCCTAAACCCGAAATCCCGTGTCCCGTCGGCCGTGGCTTGTGGGGTTTAGGGCTTCCAGGTGTCGGCGTGTAGGGCTCGTACACCGCCTGATAAACCGCTGTTAATTCCTGAAGATCGCATGGCTTCAACGTAATCCCCGATCCGCCTCGTACGGTCTGATCCAGGAGGCCCTGCATGTGCGCTGAATCGTGGATCGGAATCGGACGAGGGCTGATCCCATGGCCCGAAATCACTGATCGGCAAGCGCTCTCTTTAAGGGGTGTGATCGCTTAGTGGCCAGGCCCCGCTATGAAGGAGTCATGCGATCGTGCACGTAGCAACGCTTGAGTAGCGTCTCAGGGCAGAGTCGTTGCATCAGTCAGGCATCGAAAAATGCTCCTCCAGAGCCGCCATATCAGCTGCCGGTACATCAGCCACCTCCACCGCCTCCGCCACTTCCGCCACCACCAGTGCAGGTGGTTGACAGGCGTTGCAGTGGCTGCCTTGTGCGTGGTCAGTTGGTCAATGGTTTGCATGCCGCTGCTGTAACTGGTGCCAGGCGGCCCTTCGGGCGGTGGCCAGTTGGGGAGGCATTCGTGCTCAGAAGCTCAGTGTGACGAGTAGCTATCAGCGCCATCGCTGGATAGGGAACGTCGCAATGTTTAGTCACCAGGCACCATCTGGGGTGTGCTTTCACTTCCTGGTTAAGTGTTGTAAAAATTCGGCGCGAAACCAGCTTCGACGTCGTAATACAATTTGACTTGTTGAGCAAGCCCACCGTGAGGACATGAGAAATCCAGCTTTTATTGAGTGTTTGTTTTGTGGTGAGCGGGGCCTGGGAAAGCCAGCAATCATTAAACAAATCATGCAAAATCATAAAATGAATATAGGTCCAAGGGGGTTACAAAATCTGTCTCTATAAATGGTGGCACCGCCACCGTTCAAATGTCTCGAAGACACATGACGATGCATTCACCGCAAGATCTGGCTCAACAAGCCATCAATGTATATAGAGCCTCTTCGGGTGTGAGTGGGTGTGAGGCGTGGAGGATTGACCGGCGCTTCCTTTATCAGATTCAATGGATGCCTCCTTAAGGAAAGTTTTGGACCCGAGGCTGCAAAAAATCGAAGTGAGTGCAGTTTCTCTGTTTCACAGCACTGTCTATGTCTTGCATTGATGCGCTGTTCAAGATGGATCCTTTTTGAAGCTCTGGCGCAGAGCGCTCCAAGGAGTCTCTGGATCTGAGTTGCTTTCGAGCCTCGCTTGAAGAGCTCGGCCTGTCATGCCCGGAGGACCATTCCGCAAGCTCTTGTCTGCGACAGTTCCGCGACATTTTGTGCTTGCTTTCGGTGGAAGATGTTGGGGTCCCTAATGCTTCCTAATTCAGCTGACTGACAGGATGTAACATTCCTTCTGGACGAGGACCTACGACAGGTGGCAGTAAGGGAGTGCCATGTCATCCATGTGCACGAGCACCAGAACTTCGGTGAATCTCGAGCGTGCCGATGTGTGTTGGCAAGGTCGGTCTTAAGCTGGTTCAGATTCGCAAGCTGCAAGCCAGAGCACGCCAATGGGTCAAAGAAGATGTGGCTCTTCAGGTGCCTGGATGCGTTGAGTGCTGATGTGTTGGCAAACCGAGCGTTATGTGCCCGTGCGTGCTTCACGTGAGCATATGACTGCTCGTTAATTTCCTGGACCAGTTGGTCAGTACATGTCAAGGCTCACACACGTGCCTGTCAGGTCGGCAAGGTATTTTGGATCTTTGCGTTCTGATACGTAGTCATGACAAAAGTCTCGGTGAGTTCAGGTGGCCGTGGCGACGGGTGCTCCACGCTGCTCAACAGATCGAAAGCGCAGCTGTGAGGATTGCTTATCTCCCGGCCAGGCTCGCATTTTTCTATCAACCTTTTCCTCGCTCTTTTCATGTTTGCTCATCCCGTATCTGTCTGGGATGGAGGGCTTGACCTTGCGGCCACTAATCATTTTGGACTTCTTGTTGCGTTTTGGACATTTTTTAGGTTTCCTGTGAAAACATAGAACATGGAGGTTCCTATGATAGAGAGGAATAGAGATTATCCTATCAACATATGGAGGAAATAGAGCAGGTTTTCTCACACACAATTAAAGCCACAAGATGTTTAACGGGAGAGATATGGCCGATTCCGGTTCAGAAATGTGCTTGTCTGGTGTGCTTTGCTTGATTCGCACTGATGCTGTCCGGAGACGGCGAACGAAGACGAGCGAAGTACGAAGTCTCGCCTGTCAGAGCCTGCCGTGCCCAGGCCCAGGGCGTGTTGAGTTTCGCACCCTTGCTTGGATGTTATTGATATGAGGCGCCAGAGGCTCATGGTCTGTGCAATAGGTCTGTTGCGCAAACGGTGCAAAGAAGGACATGTGGTTGAGCAGATTTCAAAGGAAGGTCGTATTCTGTACATGTTAGTAAGTAGGCCAATGGTATCCAGGATGACTTGATTTTCGGCAGCTGGCAGGTTGTGGAGGCCATGCGGCAAAATCTTCCCGCGCAGGCTGATCTTCATCAGGCCAGTCAGGGAAATGGTGGCAGGTTTTCCACTCACTTCTGCATTCCAACTTTGCCAACTCGCCTGTATACTTTGCAAGGCATGGGGAGTGAGCTCCCCAGCATGGCGAAGAGAGCCATCGTGATTTGGAGGGCTGGCGAGTGACTTTTTGCTTTTGTGCACCGGCTCCACTGTGAAGTTTCCAATCTACCCCAAGGTCGGAAGCCAACGACACCTGGCCAAGAATATGATGCAATGCATGCACAAGTACCTACCTTCGGGAAGTTGCAAGAAGGGTTGGTGATCTGGCCCGCCAGAGTACTCCAGACTGTCACCGGTGCGCAATGCATGAGTTCTTTCTTCAGCGGAGGTAAACCGCAAAATCACCGAGCCTCGGTTGAAGTTAATCCTCGCTTGCCCTGGACTGCTTGAGATATTGGTTGGTGCTTGACTAGGTTCGAGTGTGAGCTGAATACAGGGCTGCAGTATTTTCGATCGGAGACTCAGGCCACCACTCCTGACCACGATCTGCATCTGACCGAAAGGCTGAGACGAGACAGTGTGGCAGTGCAACCTCGGAACGCTGCTGAAGCCACACTCGCCAGGGGGCGGCATCAAGCGGCGGAAGCAGGGCACAGATTGGCGAGCCTCGTGGGTGCCTGCAGCAGAATGGCCGTAGTCAAGGGAACAATCCTGAACTGTGCATGACCTGACAAAGCTTCCGCTGATCCTGTCCTTGAGGCGAGGGCTCAGTGAGGCAGGTTCCGCTTTCTGCATTCATGCTGCGGAACGTTGTGTGCAGGGACTCTGCTATGTGGTTGTAGGTACTGTCTCATGAAACCCGAAGAGAGCCTGGGCAGGTTCACCTACTCGCCATACACGCGAGCTCGCGACTCCTCTACATTCTTGAGCTTCCGAAGCACAAACATGTGTTCACGGCCCTGGTGTCCTTCCATTGTCACAGTTCAATATCCCAGTCAAAGTCAGGGACTGCCCCTTCCGCCAGTCACCTCCAAACAAGCTTCAGATTTTGCCAGGCGAAACGCTGAATGGTATTCTGCGCGCAGGGTCATTGGAAAAGTGGCCGTGTCAGGAAGACGTGTCTTGACTGTTGAAGGCCCAGCAAACCTGCCCCTCATCTCGAGTCCCGAATGTGAAGCACTGATTGGATTTGGAACTAGGGGTTACGTCGGCTACAGCTCTGGCTATGCTGAGTTCCCTGAAGAGCACGTGGACAGTCCTGCAACTCTCGGCCCTAGGCAATCCCCTGCCCTTCCTTAAGCAGTTGAAGGCTTTACTCCAGGCATGTCAAAAGGCCCTAACTGGCTGAACCTCAGGTCCGGATTCGCGAGCAGGAGTTTGGGATGCCTGGACAGCAGCACGCGAGTCCGCAAGGGCGTAAGCAATATGCGTAGCTGGACGGTGGCATCAATTGACAAAAACACGTGGCTCTGTGAATTCACAACCAACACGAGTAGGATAACCGAAGTATTAATGCAAGGTTTCTTGGAAGGAGGAATTGATTGGTACAGCATTCTCTCGGAGCAATCCATGCAGCACCAGTGCTGTGCGTAAACTCAGGAACTACGACAGTCCAGACATCAAGGTCGGGCCAATTCTTGGGGGCTCTGGGATTTCAGAGCCTGCGCAGGCTAAGCAGGTCTGGACCCACATGCATGTTGCGCACGGGGTTTTCCACACATTCTTATGGCACATGGGCAGGAGTTCCACAAAGAGAAGGCGACTTTCGGTCCATTCTACTACCGATTCCGCGTGGCCTGGCACTATCGGATGTGAAATCTGATGCTGTTCGTTAAGAAGTGCTCATTGACATCTTTGCTGGAAGGATGGGGAAAGCCCGGCCGATTGTTGGGACCGCGCATCGAGTTTTCTGGAGTCACTCCGCCAGTCCTTTGCCCATGAGACAGCGGAAGCAAGGCTGCATGCATGTGGCATGTGCATACACCCTTACGCTGCGGGAATTCTTCTACTCTACTGACAACAACTCAGGAGAGCCATGTCATTGTAGGGCATGGCACCATGCTGCTTGTTCTGGCCTCAGCCATCGTCATTTCCGATCATCGCTGCCTTTCTGCATCTTTGCGGCCTTGCTGAGCCTCAGGTGATGTTGATGCGTTTCTTCCAACTTCCAGTTGCCGATTTCGTGCCTGGCTTGGAGAAAACATTCAGCACAGCCTGTGGGGCACAGCCTTCAGCACCGCTTGAATGTGTAAGGACTCCTACCGGTCGCTGCAGAACTGCGAGCCACTCGAATAGCATAAGCTTATGCCTATGATGGAGCATGATTGTATGATGGACTACCGAGTTCTTGGAGCAAACTGTATCTGACAGTTGGACGTCGTTTCTGGCTAAGTTTCCAGCTAAGGTTCGTTGTCTGCGAGAGGCAGCAGGACAACTGGAAGATTCTCATGTAGTGGTCAGTCTGACATGAGGGCAGTTTTCAGTAGGCTTAGTGGTTATGTAAATTACGCGGGCCAGTGAACTCTTTCCAGGGCCCGTGCGCAAAGCATCATATAATTACGCGGTGGAAAAGCCCAACAAAGGTCCTAATAACAAGGGCTCTTGTTCACCTCGTTCTCTCTTTCACGCTGTTATAACTTAAAGTGCTTAGAGTGTTAAAAAGGCGTGTGTATTCAATATCATCTTTCGCAACTCTGACATGAACAGATTATTTTGTTTATTATAAGGGCGCGAAAGCAATTAGAACGACGCCCGTATTGAATTCCATGGCCCACAATACTATTCTCTTAGTTTGGCCGTAAATGAACATTGGACAACGACTACAATATCCCCGGAAAACTACTGTGTCTAATGGGCCTTTCATTCGCTCATTTGAATCGCTCAGTAGATTGAATATTAAGTTGGCGCACGCATGATACGTACTCACCTGCACAGTGGCACATGAGAAACGCAAACCTCCGCAATGAGACGTCCGAGCGTTTACCTTTGCATATGGCTGAGCTTCCAGTGCTAGTTCATGAACGGGGGAATTGAGGAGCACGCGTGGCGGGACAACTTTCCTCCCAGTCTTCTCGAACTCATCTTGCACAGGCTTCGCCATGCTTCGAAGTCTCACCGACTCGCACTGACTAAGGACAATTGAGATCATGATGCCCTGAACATCCCTGAGGCCCTCAAGTAGCCCCAAAACATGCAAAAAACCCTGCAAAACATGAACAGCCACCCTAAAAAAACCTTCATTCAGGCCCTAAGAACCTTCAGCTTTGCGCCTCGGGGCCATGGCTGCCATGGCTGGGGCCTTTCGAGATGCCGGAGTCCGCTGGGTTTGTGCCGGGTGGACGGTCTTTACCTTGGAGAACTTGATCATGCCGCCCGCATCTAATCATCTGAGTTTTTTTTTTTCACGTGAAAGTCTGACGTATTCTGTCCCGTGCTTGTACTAAGTAGTGCAAGATGCCCCACAGGTCTCCTATTCAGGGGGCCAGTTGCGCTGTGACTACCTTCTGTTGCTTGAGACAGACGGATTCTGGCAGATTCCTGAATCGTTGCCGCTGTTTGCTTCTTGCACTCCGGAGCTGAGGTCGGAGTACAAGACGGAGATCAAAAAGTACTGGGGCGGCAGTGGCGGACCTGCTGCGTACCAGACCATGTACAGCCCCTTGATCCAACAGCATAAGGCGCAAGGAATTTGCATCCTCCAGGCAACGTCGTGGTGGGTAGGTTTTTGGCCCTTGTCTCTGTTGCTGCGTGGGCAGCCGAGGCACACTGTCAGGACTGGCATCGTTTTCTATCTTTGCAGCGCCGCCAAGCTGCAACGCGGTGCTAGGGCCTGCCATATCAAGCCGATTCGAGCACGTCGAACATGCGACCCGAACATGCGACCCTCACCTCAAAGAGGTACTGGCGCTTTGCACGCCACGGCATGGTTCTGCGCAGCCCAAGCTCGGCAGAGCGATTGGCGGCCTTCGGCTTCCGCGCGCTTGGCCTCGGTACGCTGAGTGCCTCGCCGAGTGTACCAGACGCGATCCGCAGACAATTCGTGCATATTGACACATTGGTGCACTGGGCCTGCTCATGTGCAGCTGCAACGTCCCCTGACTGGTGTGATGCGTGCAACACGTGGCGGTAAACCGTAGGCTTGAAGAGCATTGTAGAGCTCATGGCTTGGAATGCGGACTCTATGAGTTGAGCTTCCTATGGTGTATACCAGTCCAGCATGCTGCAGAGTCCTTCGGCTGAGGCCAGCTGATGCCTCCCATCAACCTCGGGGCTTTGCAGATTGCATTGGGCCTGTACGAGCCGCCCAAGGAGTCCCAGCTACTGCTATGGATGCGATGGTTGGGACAAAAACTTCATTCGTCAAGACATGCATGTCCAGGATCTGCCGCCGCAGGTGAGAGGAGCGCCTTGGTTGGCAGTTGTCGCCTCCAGGGAGTGGCAGCAAACGGACCCTCACCTTCCAACTGTTGCTCGGGAAGTCTTAACCTGGCTGCAACTAGCTGTGAGCTGTTTGTCACAGAATGGTTTTTCCACAGAACAACTCCGAATCTATTTGCAGGGTGGAGCAGGTGCTTTCCGAGTGAACCCATCGAAGTTGCAATTCCGCATGCGTGCCTGCTCGCCTGCGGGCGAATGTGTGCTAGAGTCTGGAGTCTAAAAGTCTAGAAAGTTTTGGCACCATGGCGGCTGAATTTTGGGAGTCCTCTGACCCCAATTCCAGCCGACAGCCAGCTGCAGATGCTTGTGAACGCTGTCATAGTAAGTGCAGAAAGTGCCCTTAGGCCATGGCATGCCCCTTTGACTTCAATGCGTACGCTGGACGCGGAGAGGCTGCCAAAGGGGCTCAGCGGCTTGAGTGTGCCCTTTTTGGTCTTGTGCTTGCACTGTTTTGACTGTTTTTCTTTGCAGGTCTTTGGCATCACCCGCTTGTCGCGAAGACCTGAACTGGCTGGCATTGGGTTTTTTGGCATTGGCGGGGCATTGGTTGCAACTACTGCGACCCAGGCCGAGGTTGACTTTGAGTCGTGAGGGGGGGGGGACATCCAAAACCACATCCACCTGAGCATTGGGCATCCGCATGCAGACTGTCGACAGAACATGTTGTTGTTTAATGCGCGATGTTTGGGATCTTAGAAACGCCTTGTCTCGGATCCTGGCTGGATCTTGCTTGTCGGTGGCACGCTACCCTCTGGGACCTTAAAGTTCATGTAGGGCCATATTCTGGGGTACATGTTTTATTCCTTGCTTTTGTGGCCTGGCGGTCGTCATGTCTGCTGGTCCTCTGGTCTCATGGTTGCCTGGTCTGCTCTCCCGACTCCCCTACTTCTCTCTGTCTCTCTCCCTCCCTTCTTTCTCTCTTTTCTTGTTTCACCAGGTTGTACACACTTGATCAGGCAGGCCTTCGTTATTTTGTTTGCAAACGGCTGGGGGAGCAACCCCAAACGCGAAATGTAAAAGAGATATTGATCCAAGTTGGTCCACTCATTATCGAGCCATTATTGTTTGCACATGGGGGGCATGCGGCATGCGGCATGCGGCATCATTCTGTCTGCAAATGGCTTGGGCTGCTGCCCTTCAAAACGCGAAGCAGATCCCAGCCTCTCACAGCTTTTTAAAACTGTACTGTACACCCTGCGGTATATTGAACTTGCAAACAGTTGAGACTGCAACCCAAAGCATGAACTGGAAAGGGTATGTGGGCCATGCATCCTCTTTGCAAATGCTGCGCGGACCATTCTGCTTGCAACTCGGGGCGGGCGGGTTATGCAGCCTTGATCATTCTCAGATTGCTCCCAGCACTCCCTCCCTCCACCTCCTTCCTTCACCCTCTCACTTTTTAATGGTACAGCCTTGAAGCATTTGTTTGCCAATGGTTTGGGCTCCACGCCACCCACCCGCGGCCTTTTTCAAGTTGTACACCCTGGACCCTGGATCATTCCTGTTGCGAAAGGAGGAGGGGCATGCCCGAATCAATGTTATCTTCTGTTTGCTCATTGCAAACAGTTGAGGCTGCAACCCAAAAAGCATTGGTGGGCCCATTGATCCTCGGAGCATGTTGTTGGTAGATAGGTGGGCTGCGAGCCCTCAGCCCCCGTGCTGATTTGTGCGTGGACACCATGAAGGATGATTTTTTGACTGGACTTGCGCCTTTTGGGACGGGGGGGAAGGGTGTGTGTGGACCCGAGTGGACCCCAAACAGTGTCAGACCACGGACATGCAGAGCCGCAGAGCAGGAAAAGGAGGCTTCATTTTCAAAATGCCATGAAAAATGAGGTTTGCCTGTTCAAGTATGGATGGTTTTCATGTAAAACATAGAGTGCCTACTAATAAAGTATAGAGACTCGTACTCGTATGACCATATGGACGAAACCGAGGTTTTTCAAAGTAGGTTGGAGGAGAGACAATAGAGGTTTCCTGTCAGAACGTAGAGAGCAAATGGAGGGTTTCCCATGAGAACTGACGAGACAGCAGAGGTTGTCCCATGGCAAGGTATAGGAAATAGAAGAAACGACAGAGTCGGTCACATCATTGCTTCCCATCAGATCCTACCCTCCATAACGTGATGAATCTCATGTTTAGTAGGTGATCCAACAATGATCAAACATCGAACTGACAATGGCCACGAATGATCACATTATGAATGTCCAATGCATCGTCGCCTGCATTTGGTGAATATTTCAGAGATTTCGAATGTGATGTGATGATGCCATTCGATCCAAGAAGTGGCACCGTCAGACAGGTCAACTCAGAATCAATCCCCGAATAAGATGCAAAGAAGCCTGCCCCGTTTCTATCAAAGCCCACCCCCCCCCCCCCCCCAACCACCCCCGACCCCCCCCCTCAAGAAGCGCAAACATAAAAAAACACAAGTGTCCATAATTCTCTGCGCTTAGTGCTTTTCATGAGCGCGGTTTCCCAGAGTCATCCGATTTCGCCGTTTCCTTTTTTGCAAGCCGAACAACCTGCAGGGCACAAAGCGCTGCTTGTCCCATCCCATCCTTGCTTGGCACGCATGTGAAGCAAAATCTGTTACGTTCACGGCAAGGGCTTCTGTGTCTCGCCAGACTGTATGCGATGTTAAGCAGTTGAAGTTTAGTTGGGATGCTTTAGGATACATGCTGTAGACGTTGGGCTTTCTTCATGGGCATGCTGCCAACATATTGCCATCCAGTGCATGTGTTTACGTTTCCCTGCAAGTTGGCATTCTGGGGGGTTGGCCCTGTCATCTCCTTCAGCATCCTGGCGCTGCACAGCGATGCTCGGAGCAGTCAGAGTCAAGACCTGGCCACCGTGTGTTGCGCTCGATCTGGATATGACCAGACATCTTTCAGAGCTTTTTCAGACATCCTTTAAAGGAAGCCTTTTGAGATAGAGACGGAGGATCGAGTGCAGCGACGAAGTGGGGAAATGTCGACTTCGAAGGAGGAGCTACTGAGCTGACTTCTTGGGGCTGATTTGAATCGGTGTTGCTCTTAAACTTGTCATCGAACCGTCGAATCTCAGGCAGACGTCGCTGCTGCCTTTTCTAGCTTTATTGGATGGCCGGCAGTCGTGGTCGACATTTTGCAATGAGCGGCCTTGTCGCACTCAGCCTTTCACTGATTTCTGTATTTCCGATGCCTGTGCTGCTGCTGTGTGGAGCTTGTCAGCCGCAGGCTTGTCATTCAGAACTTGGTCGCTGCTGCTACGGTTGCTGTGCTTTACAGCGCTGGCGGCGCAGTGCGCCCTGAGTGGATGAGCTTCGGCAAAGCCCGACTGTGAACGCAACGTGAAGTGGTTCCGGAGCCTGGCAGAAGACCTCCACGTGCAAGGAGGGCACCAGGACCTGTCAGGTCTGCAACAAGCAGCGAGACAGAAACTGCATAGCGACAGCCTTCTGTTTCCAACTGCATGTCTGAAAAGACACAAAAAGTGGCTGCTCGAGCCCCCTCTAAGATTGTGGACGATTGGGCAGTGTTTTCTTGGGACTGTGGTCAAGTCTCTGTGGGTTCCAAACGTGCTTTCTGCAAGTCATAAAAGCCGCCGCTGGTCCCGGGCCCCCTACGCCCTCGTTATCCCGCGTGGAATTGAACCGATAATTGAACCGATACTGGTACCGGTGCCTCGATACCCCATCCTGCTGTATCGCTACTCAGGTATGGTCTCTTAAGCAGCTGCGGGCATGGCTGGGCTTCCAGCCTGCTTCATATAGATATAATCACAAGCAGTTGTGCCATAGACGACGTCCCTCTGAAAAAGAGCATGTTGTTGTTCATAAGCTTGTGCCAGGCGCAGGAGGGCAGATCCAGGTCGTTGCAGAATGTAATGAATGTAATGAATATGGAATACTACACGCAGATGACGAACACAGTCAGTCGGTTGGATCTTGCATGGCTGCCTGTCTGTTTTTGTGCCCAGGAGGATGCCAAGTTCGAACTAAGCTACACGTGGCCGCCGGGAGAAGAGAAGAACCATGCTGGTCTGAGGTGCTGGGAGTCCGAGTGCAGTTCACATCTAAGCATGTCCGAGCGGTATGGTGCCGGCTTTCCAAACGCAAGAAGTCACGGTCAACACCAAAAACAATGGCCTGCCACAGATCAGCGCCACAGAGCCCGGTCGGTCAGATTGAATGCTAAGCAAGAATTCTTGGGTCAAAGCTGTACGTCATCCTCTTGGATCCCAAGAACCGCCCAAGTTTCAAAGCGGGGAAGCTCCACGCAGCACGCTTACACCACAAAGATATCAGCAGGCAAGCGCCCGCAAATTGCGTGATCAAGCAAAATCTGGAGAAAGCCCCGAATGCATAAATGATAGAGCGTGTAGTGGAACTTGAACTGAACAAGCACAACTACATTCCTCGGCTCTGTGATCCGTGTTAGGATCTGAGTTTGCTTGCCATGTAGCATGCCGGTAAAAGATAGCAGCTGCTATGGCAGAAGGGATGTGTAAATAACAAAGGCACTTTCGGGGAAGGATTTCAGATGTCGAGAACGATTGTCTGATCTTCATCTCATGGCAGGTTCAAGACAGAGGATCTGCCACAAAAAGAGATCTGGGACGGAAATTTGGATTCGCGCTTCTTGGACGCAAAGACAAGCAAGTCCAGCATCGATGTTAGTAGATACTAGCATGTCAGGCGCACAATTTTTGAGAATCAGAGACAGAGAGCCTGCAGTACATTATCTTCCCGCTCAGCGTCTGCACTTCCACATTCCAGATAAAGGCAGAAAAATGTGGGAACGTGGATTATTGCAGTGTGGAATGCGGAAAGGAGTCGCAGTGTAGCGGAAGCTCCAGGTCTGGCACTCCAAGGAAGCAAACTAGAGACAGCCATTACTACAGCAACCATTGGTATACGGTGCACTCTTGACGTACTCTCTCTGTCGTCCGCCATCACACGTATCAAAGTGAGTAGTTCAAAGCCGGCTCGGACAACCCAAAGTCTTTAATATGGGCCAGCTATGCGGGAGCGAAAAAAATATGGCTGAAACGATGCCCATCGGCAGTTTTTGAGCTCTTAGCATTCTGCACTCTTGCCGGCAGATTTTCGGGACGCATTTACACGTGCAGAAGTAGTGGTTTGAAATTGAAAAGTATCGCGCCTGCGCAGTCCAAACGATTCTACGGCTTTCTTATCAGCCTGAAAAACAGACGCCTTTGCACCGACAGTGGTGGCAGATTATTCAGATTTCAGATGCTTCCGTTCTAAGGGGATGTACGTAACACTAAGAAGAAACCTGTGGAAAGCGCGCCTCGAATTTTGAAGTTTGCGGCGCAACTTGCTACAGCATGAACGAAGTCTGGAAAGTACGCTGAGCGGCCTAGGCGAGAGTGCCATTTGTGATGACGGAGTATACCAAAACCTCGATTAAAGTTGTTTCGATGAAAAACGATCCCGACTCGTGCCTCAACGATTTGCACCCAAAACCAGCCCCGCCCCTAAGCGAGAGCTGTGGAACATCCGTGCGCTTTGCACGATAATACCAGGCCCGGTTACCTCTTTGCCACGCTGATGGGGAAAGGCTCAAATCAAAGACGGAACTCATGTTAGGAGCCTCGACTCAGCAGGACGATTGATAGCCCTTTTTTGTTTTAATCGCCAACGCGAGGCCGCCTCGGCGAGTGCGCTAAGTCAGGACAGTGGGGGCTTTTGCCTGAGAAAAATTTTAAGGGAAGGGGGGAAAGGGCGGTGGTGGTCGGGGGGGGAGCAGGGGGGGGAGGAGGCTCCGCGTTGAGGGGAGGGAGGGAGGGAGGGGACGAGGGGGAGTGGTGAAGAACGCGCCCTGTGGCGGCAAAAAGTCCTCTTGGTCGTGATGCATCGAGGAATCTTAATGTGCCACCAAGGTCTGTTGTCCCATGAGCCCGACGCCCCCAAGGAGGAGTGAGACAGCGACTTGCCAACGTGAGCGGCACATTGTGCTGGCCCACGGCGTCCTGGTTTGGATGCCAGCAAGACGCCATACGGCCTCCCGTGCGTCATGATGCAAAGGCTGTGCACGCGCCGAGCGCTGCGCAGCAAGTCCTGCCAGCAAATGGCAACGTACGTTGCAGCGCGCATGTGTTGACAGGCCTGGCAGCTCAGTTCGACGAACGTCCGCGAAACGGGTCAACATCTTTTAATGTGCCGATCTTCTCTTGTCCACATTGCCACAAGTCGATAGGATCTTGGTGTTAATGGAATCTGCTGATCTTGGCTGTTCATACTGTTTCAGGCAGTTGAATAGAACAGAGGGTCAAACTGTGGCGTTGGTGGGTAGCAGGAAGCAGCACGGCATTTTGCGAACATGCGGCCAGTCCCAAAGAGGTGATGTATTGGCACAAGCAGATGTGCATGCAAACAAAACAGCACATAATTTGACGTGTTTTCTGTTGGGCAGTGGTCCACCAGACCGCATCCAAAGCGCAAAATGTTCTTGCTTGGCTGCTTGGCTTTGCCGCATTTTGCAGCGGCCTGCGCAACTGACCTCGAAAGAGCTGAAGTTGCTGCGGCCTTTTTTAAGCGCACTGGCACCGCGGGCGCCTTTCAAGTCCAGCATGCAAACCTGAACTGCGTTTTGCCAGATTCGACCACTCCTCCACAGCCCAGAACGAGTCAAGGCTTGCATTGGCCTAGGGCCTAGATTGCTTCGCTTGGAAGCACAGGTCGTGCAGAGTGCACACCATGTCCAGTGTCCTGGCACAGAGGGGGGCAAACCACGTCTAATGGGTCTTTGCAAACGCAAGAAATACATTTACGGTGCCCATGCCTCTGATGTTTATTCGAGCGATTCCACAGCGCTCTCTGGTTTTGACGACATTGTCTAGCTGTCTTCGTCCCGAGAGCTTTGGCCGACTGCCATGTGCACATCCTTGTCGAGCGACAGCTCTCGATCGAATACAGAGTCGGCACTTGTGCGACTTTCAATGGCCAATCTTGTTTGTACTACGCTGTAGGGTCGATCAAAAAATGCTTCTTGTTGCAAGAAGCAGTCGGCGTGGGCTGTGGGAAATTGCGAGCAGTTTGTACCGCGTCCTGACCGCTTGTACCACGAACGCGTTCGAAATTCTACCACCTGTTGTCACAGGCGCCACATGCTCTGGCGGGATGCCCAGTGTGAATCTGCGGTGCATGCCCTGCGCGCCGGGGGGGCATGCAGCATGGACTGAGGACAGGGGCCCGCATGGTTCAAGGCACGTGTGATGTTGTCTTGATCGTGTGCCTGCACAGATGTCAACTTGATGTCGATTTTCTAGATGCGCTGAAAGATCCGTGAAGCATGCTGCTCGCATCATACGCTGCTGCCAGATCCAGAACACAGAGGTTTTCCAGGTCGTGTTCTAGGTGCCTTGTGCCTTGTGCTGTAGAAACGTGCAAAAACCGTTCGTTTCTGCGTGTGGTTTTCGAAGAGGGCAGGATTCGGAAGTGACGGATTCGGCCCAGGGTCAACTACTTCGGGGTTAAGGCAGCATGCAGGATGGTCTCTTAACTTCTCAACAAGTGGGTTGGGTTTTTACATTCACACGACATCGAAGGCCCTGAACACCACATGCAAGACTGATGCTTGCCTCATTCATCCCTTGAGACCCTAAGCTGAGGTTCGACACATTGCAATCGATGTTTGCAGGTCGCGCCGTCGCATGGACCGCCGGTCACGATCTCCCAGGCAAGACATGGCCGGAGCATTTTGAGGGCGCATACGCCCGACCTGTGTTTGGCCGCAGGCGGAGAGACAGAGACCGTGACAGGCCGGCAGCGGTACAGCAAAAGCAAGCTGCATATGTTTCATCTGACGAAAGGAAGGGGTTGCGAACCGATGGAAGCAGCTCCTTGCCCCTTATGAGGGGCGAGAAATGAACTCGATTTCCTATCCTTTAACCCCCCGCCCTAGATGCATGGGGGCGACGCCTTTCAGTTGACCGGTCAACTTCTCTTACCTGAGCTGCTCGACCAGCCCAAGAGATAATGTGGAGATGTGTGGAGATATTCCCTGAAAAAATCTCAGCGCAGTGCCTGGCCCTGCCCCCATGGCATTGTCCATCTCGATACGGCAGTACCCATCGGAGCAGGTTTCGGCTTCATAAGCTTTGACCCTCAGCATTGCTGGTGCTTCGAAGCTTCGAAGATGTATGCAAAAACGGGTTGTTGAAGAAGGGTTTAGTAGGGTTTTGGGTTTAGGGTTTAGGGTTTAGGGTTTAGGGAAGAAGGGTTCCTCAGCCGCCGAAGGCACAGAGAGCCACACCGAGGCCTGGATGTGTTCTCAGAAGTGCTCCCGTGCGACTCTTTGAAAGTACACTGTGAGTGCACCTGGACCCATCTTCAATTTCGTTTGTCACTTTTTGACCGTGTTAGTATATAAGGTGTCAAGGAATCAAGTTTTACCCGAGGTCACCAAAAGCAGTTCGTGTGTTGCCGCGGGTTTCTTCAACCTTGCTTGGCCTCAACTTGGCCTGCGACCCCTGCAGGTCGCGATCGCCATCGCAGATCTCGATCGCAAGGATCCCTGTTGGTTCGGGAATCGGTGTTCAGCATCGCATCCTCTTGTGAGTTCGAAAAGCGAAATTAAATGCCAAGATTGGATCCTTTCAGCTTAGCCCCGTGCTACTCGTCGCTTGCATTCCTTTCATCGGTAGATGTGCTGAACTTGCGGCATTTACGAGTTCACAATGTGGACTTTTTGACAGTGTGGGCCCAGCGGCTCAGCTAAGGCGCTCCCCGGCGTCGCGCTCCCGAGGCTGTCGCATGTTGTCGGGGGGAGTGGCTGGAGGATGCTAGAGGTGTTGTGGTACATGCGGTGTATCCTCTGGATGCGACTCCCTCAAACCTGCTACTCCACTCTCAGCGCCAGAGTCGGCATAAATCTTACTGTAGGAGGCGATCGCCGCCAAGCACCCAGAAATAGTTTTCGGGCTGCTGAGCTGGTGCATCGAGGCATTCAAGCATTGAGGCCAGAGCATCAGGGTGCACAGCACAGCGCGCACAAGTCACTGGCCAAGGCCGTCGACGAGAAGAGAACCCCTTGGGCGACAAGGTCGTTGGGCTTATGGTAGACATGGAGTGGGAGCTGCATGACTTCCTTTTCCGAGGAGTTGTCATTAGACCAAGTGGTCTCTTCTAGCCAGACCGGCGTCGATATTCGCCCCCTGGCACGAAAGCTGAAACTTGCTTGTTGCAATCCCCCCCAATCCCCCCACCCACCCCCCCCCTTCCCCCCCCACCCCCTCGACAGACACACCGAAGGCGGGGGGACGGTAGGTGAGGCCCCATGAGCATCACAGAACCTGAGGCGGTTGTTTTCAAGATGGCGTTGGACTGAGCTCATCTAGCAGATGGTGTCTTCAGGAAGCTTGTACCCGGGATTGCCTTACCAGAAGCCCCAGGACGTCCGATGCAAGAGCTGGTGGACAAGCTGGTTTTAGCTGAGGCCGGGGTGAGGTGAATTTTCTTAGCCAGGCCCGGAAAAGCATTAGTTAGTCTGCCGAAGCCGCAAGCAGACCCTTGCCACGTTGGAAGCCGAAGACATTTTCCAACCATAGGCGTGCCAACATCGTATTCATGTGGCAGTCGGGGTCAGATGTGTTGTACATTCGCACATAAAGGTGGTTGCTCATCATGCCAATGTCTGCATGACTCCGGAACAGAGATACGGTATGCTCTATCGATGACACCCTGAATGCATGAATCTGGCTATGTCCTCAGTACAGTGAAACGATACGGTGCGCTCTGATTCCAGAACATGGCAGGCATGGACAGGTATAGCTATCGCCAGGTCTTCAGTACGGTGTGCTTGCTAAGTGGTGCCTTCTGGCCCCTGTCCAGGCTGACCCGCTCAGAGATGCCTTCCTCAAGCTCCGGTGTGTGATCTACCAAGGTCCGTAGGATTTCCCACAACCACCTTGGAGCTGCGGAAGAGCCGGAACCACCGCAGCATTGGCAGGACAAGTCGTCTGCTTGGATGTGCGTCGTCTCGCCTGCGCGGGGCCCAAGCGTGCCCTGTTTTTGTAAGCTCTGGTCCGATATACATATATATATATACATATATATATATCTGCATATGTATAATTATGTATATGTATATGTATATGTATATATATATATATATATATATATATGTGGAAGGCTGTGGGCGCCAAGGCCTGCAAGAGTACGCCAGGAAGGTGCAGCGAGAGGTGAGGATCCGTGTTGATGTCCTTCCCTAAGCTGAAGCTGTGAGATCTACGAGGCCTAGGCCTGAGTGTGCAGGGTACGGCTATCTTTCAGAAAAGCCCTTAGGTTCAGGACAACTGGGACGAAAGACGAGGAGGGGATACCTCTGCTCCTCGGCCAATTCAGCCCAACAGCGTGCGAGGCATGGATGGTCTTTACATGTCTTTACACTAGGCTTTCCAGGCCCTGTTTGGCAGCAACACATTTCTGATTCAGCATAGCAGAATCCTTTTCTTTGGTCCGTGCTTCCTAAGAACATCTAAGAACGCAGACAATGTACTGGTAGCCCCCAGTGGTTTCGACGGGAATACCAGCAATCGCAGACTTTCGACCTGACTATTCGGCTGTGGTTCAAGCCTCCATTGCCCTCAGAACTTCTTGAAGCACTACACGACTCCCGATGGCGACACGCCCAGAGTCAGAAGAAGGCATCCTGCGTGTAGAAGGTACATGTTGTCCACGAGTGCAAGCAGCACTTGATAGCACTGGTTTAACAATGATATCGATTTTTTGACAAATTGCTGGGCACATTGGTGGTTTTGCTCTTGTCTTGCGTTCCTGGTCTTTGCGGCAGCTCAGTCAACTTCTTTGAAGGACCTACGGAAACGACAACGAGGCGTGGCTTGAAAAATGGTGGGTGGTGTGCAGTCTATTGCACAGCGTCCAGTAAGAAGTTGGTTCGATGGGTTGCAGGTGGATGGAGGAGTAGTGTGATATTGAAAGGGTGCATCCAAGGATCGAGACGGGAATCGTCACCGAGACGACAACGATAGGCGCTGCTTGCAGTTGTGTTGGCATTCTGGCCAATAGGACATTGGGATTGGTTTGTGTTGAGTGATTAGTCCCCTGATGTCCTCTGGCTACTTGCGGCGCCATAAGATTTGACAAATGTTTCAAGGCCGAACCATTGCCAAAGTATGGTGAATTGCGGACAGAATCACGAGCAAGACGAGAGCCCCGAATCTCAACGACGGCCCTAGATTCTAGATTGAAGTCCCAGACCCCTCCATGCGAGCAAGGCGTTGACACGAAGATCTTCGTAAAACTGACACTGACAAAGCTGCAACCCCTAAACGCCCAAGCAACCGCGTCTGGGTTTGTCGTAGCACCTACACAGACCAACGAACCTTGCCGGCGTTGTGCGAGAGCGAGCGACTAAACCCTGGCCATGGGCCAAGGCAAGGCCTGCCGCCCAACAAAAACAAGAGGCGTCACAAAACTGACGTGCCCCGCAACAGCGCGTGCCCTTGGCTTCCTGACTCATTCGCAAATTTGTGTCGCAAAGGGTTGGGTGCACGGGAGGACGCGTGCAGGCCCGCCCTGGGGGGCCGTGTTGAGAGGTGCAGGTTGGATATGCGCAGGCCAGATGTGACGGATGACCTGCAGTGTTGCCGCGAATCAAATCCCCCCACAAAACACCGACATCTAGCAAACAGTCCCCACCCACATGCAGCGAGACTTCCGTTGCCCAGCCGACAGGCACATGCGGGCACACACAAAACTTCACATTGCTGACTGTTTGCCTTGGACCTGTGTGCACATGGGGTTTGACTTTCATTCAGTGCTGCGCACATGGAGTGCCTTTTTAACTATGATGCCGCCCCACAGGTCCAGTCCCTGCTTTTTGGCATCTTCTGATGCTCACAGTACCCCGGACGCCTGCCCTGAAAGAATCCCGGAGCGAATCCAGCACACTGCCCCCAAGAATCCAGCGACAAATCCTCGTAGAACTTTTTTTCAAGTGTTTGCGTTCGCAGAATCTCGCAGAGGTTGCCGAGAATACCTGCCCAGAGAGTTCTCACCCTCAGAGAAGCCCACACACAGCCCTGAATGCCGGTTCCCATCACAGAAATCCCACGAAAATCTTGCAGAGCATCCTTCCTACATGTGGTTCTCTGGGGTTGTTGGATGCATGAATGAGATTCAGGCCAAAGACCAAAGCCAGGAGTGAGGAGAATAGGTGAATCAGAACCGAACACTACAGAGGGTGGGGAATTGAAACGGGCTACGCTAACTTTTGGGGTGGGGAGCAAGTATGCCACTCTTGAGATGAAGCGTCGGCCACACGTGCAGTGGGTGCAAGCTGAGCTGCAACGTTCTTCAGCATGCCCTGTGATAGCTCCGCCATGTAACTATTTTGGGACTGGAGGGGGCTGCGTTAACCTCCCCAAGCGACCAAGTCAGTCCCTGATTTGGGGCCTGAAGGTAGTGCTTGGGCTTCGCAGACCCACGGGACGTTCAGGCTTTTTTTCTTCGAAAGTTTTGTTTGTCGTGTGTGCTTGTCAGGGAATGGCGCCAGCCAATTGGCCAAGGCCGTGGGAAGGGTGGTAAAGGCCGGGGGCGTCAGCGCAAGTTACTTGAGGGCTATGAGGGGTGCCCTTTTTCCGTCGAGATTGGAGAGAGCTTTTTGAGGTAAAGTTGCTGGATGCACAGTCAATCGTACCCGTTTCCTCTGTCCACGTCCTGACGCCACAGACTGTTGCAAACGCGGGTCGTTTCTGCCTCCCTTTCAAAAAACTTCACACACCAACTGGATGTCCACAGGACAAGGCAAGAAGGGGAAGAGGCCGACAAAGCTTTCTTGTGGCTGCTCCTAAACCCCTTTTGCATATTTTTGCAAATTCTGAGCAATTCGAAGTCCGGAGCCACGAAGGCGGAACCGCGACGGATGGTCAGGACGGGCTCTTGCCTCTCACTGGTCTCAGAGTCGCTAGTGTGCCGTACATCCCGGCAGGTGGCTGGAAGGGTTGGAAGAACTGGAATTGGAAGCAAGGCCGGTGCAGCGCGAGCATAGGCCTTGCAGTGAAGTTTGACATGTCGGCCAGGTGATGACCAGCAAGGCCATGTGACTTGGCTGCGATGTTGTTGACTTTGGGTTCTGTATCGGACTTCTCTGGGTACCTCATAGTGACTATCGTAGTGGAAGGTTTGGGAGGCGGGTCGCCTTACTGAGGATGGCGGAAATGCTGCTGACGACGACAAGGCAAGATCTGTGACAAGTTGTCTCCACCTCCACCTGGAAACTGTAGATCTCGCTACGTAGCACGTAGTTGGTCCTGCTTCTTTGCGCTTGCAGGATTCCCGCCAGGGCATAGATGACACCAACCGCGAAGCTTGGAATGACCCGGACTTCTTCGATGAGGAGGCAACAACTTGGGGGAGAAACGCGCCGGGGCATCTGCATGAACAACTTGTCAGGATTTCGTGAGCCCGGGCCTTAAGACTGCATTTGTTGGCGTCTGGGAAAGTTCGGCTTCCAGACTCCTCTCAGGCACTCCAGCTCCAGGAGGCTATCCAAGGGAGATGGGCGTTGCCGAGTTTCCAGCTGTCTGAAGCAGACAAGTGAAGCTGTCCTCACAGGTTCTGCGCTGAAGCCGGGCGAGGCTTTCCAGAGTCATTGTAGCATGTTCCGCTGCACAGCCCTTGTTGAGATTCAGCATAGCAGAAAAAGGCTGGCAGCTTCCCATCCGCAACCTGCTGGGGGAATTGCGCTCATGGATGCTCATGGCGCCAGTTCTGCGCATTGGAAGGTCGGGTCCCGGCGGAGCCGATGGGACAATGCAGCAGCTTTCGATCCTGAGGCGCTTGCTGGCTGTGCCCGGAGTGTGTGAGATCTAAAATATCCTGACGGCGTGTTGCAACGACTGCTTTGCATTCATGTGCATGCAGCTCTGAGCTGCAGGCGCCTCCGCAGATCGGAGAGTTGCTTTAGCTTCATGTAGTTGCGATGTACCCTCACGTCTCAGACTCGAACCACTGCATCTGTGTTGGATGGACCATGGCTTGTTATGCGAGCATTGCTAGAACTAGAGGCGTGACCGAAGCGTGTGACCGATGCCGGCGCAAAAAGGTCCCGGATCATTCTGCTGCCAAAATCCATGTTCAGAAGCAGATGTCGGCAGACATGTTCAGTTTCCTGGCAACAGCTGGTTTCCGGATGTTTCCAGCGGCCTTGTGCATCACAACAGAACCAGAGGGTGCTAGCGAGATTCCGTGCAGTCTTTACGCTTCTGGCAGAATGAGATGTTGCGTATAGGGGCAAAGGCAACTGGCAGAGATGTGTCAGGTTTGTGTGGCGTACCGCCGGTAGGGCCCAGCCTAACAGTTAACACACGCGATCACTTGTGCAGACTCAGTGTGCAGATGCGTGCTGGCTACCCCCACGCCTATCAGTGCCCTTCGACCAGTGCCGCGGCATGAGAGAGGTGCGGTCTTCCGTTTTTCAGAGACCGACTTGCTGGGTCCCCCTTTTGGATCGATGACATGGCCCGCTACAAACGTCAGAGCCTGCAATGCATCTTCTTGGCGCCAGTAAGACCTGTGGTGAAAGGTCAGCATCCTCGTTGAAAATCTTTCTGGCTGTGATCTCGAACTTTCCCGAGCTGCGCGCTCGGAGTGTTGTGCCAGAACATTGTACCAGAAAGCAACTCCCCCTTGCAGATCTAGTGGCTCTGGGTGACCTGGGCCCGGTAACATTCGGTGACTCAATCCAGGACTAATCCTGTCCCCTTGTGAAGGCCATGTCGAACCAGTGATGAAATCATACATGAATCACATATATATATATATACATATAAACGCTGCCTGAGACTCCACCGGGTTCCTTAGTCAAGTCTGCAGCAAAGGTGGTAAGTCAGGAGGGCATTCCTCGCAGCCCGCCGCCTGAGGCTGGATCAAGGGGGCATCATCTGATAGCAGACAAGCCCAACTGCAGACACACGGCACGTAGCTTGCAATGACTGGCTAAGGGAGTTGCGGCTGCCAGGGGGGTGACCGTTTGGGCGTGCGCAATACTGTCAGCGTATTTCTGTGGACGAATTGTTTCTGGATGGGGTCCTTGCCAAAATCTTGTTTGCACGCTGCACTCGCTCGGCGTTTGGATGGGGGAAAGCAAAGGGGCCAGGACTTTCATGGCTTCCTGAGATTTGCGTTTACATGGGACAGGGCTGGCCTGTGCTGTGCAAGAGGTGCGTTGTACCTGTCTCTTTGTCTTTGTTTCTCTGCCCCCTTCATCGTCGATTGAGCCAACGCACGAGACAGGAACATGACACAGAGCATGGCATGACGAGACACTTCAGAGACGCGATCGCGGACACAGAGTCTTGGCTTGCTTTGCTTTGGAGGGCCTTCTCAGGGACATCGATCGAAACCGGTTTGTTATGAGCCTGAAAGCTTTTGGGCACGCCAAGCCGCACGCACCCCCCCCCCCCCCCCTCCCCGAACAAGAGTTTCGATCACGGATGTCCTGTGCGGCTTGGCGTGCCGAAAACACATGCCAAGGCTCAAGGACAAGAAACCAGTTTCGATCGATGTATTCCAAGAAGGCCCTCCAAAGCAAAGCCAAGCAGTAGGCCGTGTCATGTGAGACTTACGGAACATGAGACGACAGTCACGAGGACCACGCCCTCGACCCGATGAGCTGTAACTGAGGACCCCAGAGTGACGACATGGGGATCGTGTCCCCGACCAGCTCAATTCCTGTGACGGTTGACACTGTCTTTGGACACGCGCGATCCCCGCACACCTGCGAGCCCGCCAACGCGCGCGATCGACAGGCACAAGAATCGTGCCCCCCGACATGCCGTTGACACACTTTCAAGATACCGAGGAGGGGTTGCACAACTAATCACACGCGATGCCCCCTCGTAGGCATTCCGGGAAGGATGTGAGAAATTACTGTAGCTTCTGTTGCTGCTGCCGCTGTACACGCTGTGTGTTGCAAGCGACAGCCCTGCAGGTCTTGAGCAGGTCATGCAAGCTTTCCTGGCTAGGCGCGCCTGTTTTCCCGGCCATCCTGGTCTTGCCACGCTTTCTGTCTGTTGTGACGCTGAAGACCTGATGCCGCTGCAGGACGGAACAAAGAGGGCCAAAGCTGCTTGGCTCAGAAGATCGGAGAAGCCCTGAAACACGAGCGAAAGACACAGCCACAGCAGGGAGCAAGCTGCCTGGGGAAACGTTGCTTTTCGCTTGCGGCAGAGGCACTGGCTGCGCTGTGGCCCTTGAGTTCCGATCCAAGAGCAGTGGCTACGGTGACGCATGTCCGAGGCCGCTGTGCATTTAGGGCGCATTGCGTCATTAATATGGGTGTTTCTGCAAATAGGGGAACCCTTTTTTCGGGGGTTCCTAGATGAAGGATGATAGTATTTGGGGGTATATTAGGGGTACCCCTAGTTTGAGAAAGGGCCATTTAGAAGTCATAGTCCATGCAAGGAAGCGCTTTGTTCTGGCCGTCCAGCTTCCCGGACCGCCGCAAGGCCGCCCGAACACAGCGATTCCCTGCACAGCACGCTAAAGTCGGCTGGGTATTCAGTAATAATAGCAAAAAAAATAATAGTAAAAATAATAGTCGTAGTAGCAGTAGTAGTACTGCTACTAATACTAACAGTAAGAAAACGTGTAGCCTTCTGTGTGATTCTGTGTGCAGTGGCCGTGCCCATATGGCCGTGTTGAAGGTGTCGCCTCCTGGTTTGGAGGCAGGTGGCCAAAGGGTAGCGATGCGACTTCTGCACTTCTCCGTAGCCTCTCCCGATTTGCATTCACAGTCCTATCTTTGTGCCCGAGTGGTCGCGGGCTATACCAAATATGCCCACTTGCGCCAGCCCTCTCCAGCCCTTCAAAAGACGTGCCAAAGTTCACGGCCTGCTTCCAGGAGCTACGCTTGCAGAAGGCTCTTAGAATTTGCTCTGCTGCCAGCAGACAATCTTAGCCGTACAATTCCAGAGGGAGATCTGCGGTGACAGCTTCACCCGGCTCGGTGCGCGCAGTTCAGGTATGTTCAGGTGACATCAGGAAAGATGATAAGATCCCTCTCAAGATACACCTCGCCCCTTGTCCGTGAGGACCTGCACCCCGGGCAGACTCCAACTGATGTCCGCCAGACATTGGACCAGGTAAGGCCCCCAGCACTTTCGCGAGCCTTGGAGCACATCAAGTCGGGTGGCGTTTAGGCGTTGTTTGCAGCTTCGCACATCTTCACGAAACGTGCTCGGACCTCCGCACCATCACCCACGAAGCTTCAGCAAAGTTAAGCCGCTCAGGCTCTTAGGTCAAGCCCAAGCGTTACGTAACACTGCGCCACTCCGCAAAACTAGAAACGGATTAATGATGAACAGCCTCGACTGAAGCTATGAAATAGTAGTGAGTGGCCAGGCTAGGTGTAGGAAGTGTCACGCACGACCTTCGGTCAGAAGGGCTGGCTACGTATGATTGCTGACGCCTTGCTGTGGCGGAGCAACGCTGGCGACAAGGCGCCCCCTCTTGAACACCACGGCTGTGGAACTGGTTGCGAGTGGCTGGCGGCACGGCGGGAAGCAGAGGCAGCCGGCTGGGACTCTGAATGGCAATGAATGGTACAATGGGATAGATGGGTCATTGCTCGGGTCTGCTTTCGTTGCGGCGAGCTGAGTGTGCATATACACGTGGTGCCCAAAACGTTTGCTGATCTGGAAATCCGCGCAGTTTGTCGATGTTCGCCTGCGTCTGCTTCCAGAGGACACAGTCGCGAGCCCAGTCGGCATTCAACTCTGAGCACCTTCGTTCATGGGAGAGAGAGGCATACCGTCTCATACCATCAACCATATACACGCCATGTGTAAGATTCCGGGGTAGCGCTTGAATCGAGATCCGAGATGTCTGAGGCAGTGCCCGAAGAGAGGGTGGAAGAGCTTCCCCCTGAGCTGACGCAGAAAGATGAGGCGACGATTGTCGCAGCTTATTCTTGCTGACTTCTGTTTGCAGACCTCAAACAGTGCCTGGATGTGCAGATATGGGCAGCGGTAGTTTTTCGAAGCCGCCACGGCTCAAATCTGGACCGATGGGGTGACCTCTGCAGCGGTTGAATTCACAATGGCCCAGCTGGCGCAACCACGACAATAGCTCTGGGCACTCGCCCAAGTCGGCGGCCCGGTCCTGCCCACGAGTCCGCGCGCGGCCTCGACCTTACAACGACTTCTGGCGCTTTGCATTGCTTGCAACCTTGTAACAACCTTAAGTAGCTCTGCTTTGTAGCTTCGCTTCTTCATGACTTCATGGGGAGAACAGAACGTGGCACTCTGCAACGATTCCTCGCCCTCCGCCTTAAGGTGCAGATGCCACCGAATGCCCTGTCGTTGGATGTCCCCGCAGCCCTCATCAAGGACTCCCGGGGGCAGGAAGGGCTAAGCAATGCTACTCGTACGTGCAGCTGCCAGAAGCCTAAAAAAGCGAAAGGAAAGGGCGAAAAGAACGTTTGGTACCAAGAACATAGATGATGGGACTGACAAGGTTTTTCTTCATCAAGCACGCGCTTTCACGAGAATGGAATGCAAGCTTAACCCGATCGAACCACATGTAAGTGACAACCATTCGTAGACACTTGAGCATGAAGTTGTTCACTCACACATCCACCTTATCTTCTCCAGATGGGCAATTGTGGGGTCATTATCCCAACAAGGATGCGCAGTCTCCTGAAGGATCCAAGGTCGTGGACAGTGGAGGACATTAGCATTTGGCTTCATTGGCTGGGCATAGGCATCTCATCTTCAATGGTGGCCATCTTGCAGCCATGTGCAGCCCTATGCAATAAGCCTTCTGACAGCATGAAGGTGAGCACGTGGAAGCCTTTGCTTCTCGCAATGTGGATGGCCGGCTCTTGCTTCAGCTCGGGGCGGAGTCCTCCTGGGCGCCTTGGCGTGCCTTCATGTGAGGTACTCGTACCTCCAAAGTGGTACGCCACCAGCGATTCGGCGGTGAGATTGCTTCGTGAGGCGGAACTGGGCGTGACAGACCCCGCGCAGCAGCGCGTTCTGGACTCCGCGGTCGAGCCGCTGAGGTCGGGAAACGAGCCATCGGCGGCTTCTGCCGCAAGGAAGTAAAGCATCAGGAAGAAGTGTAACCAGCAAGAGAGGGAAAGACATGGGAGACATCAGCCAGGTGTTTCCATCAGGGGAGCGGCCTGGAGACGGGCCTTGCGTTGCACGCGATCGAGGGCCCTGTGGCGGGCCGGGTCTTTCTTGTGGGCAGCGGCGGAGTCTTTCGATTGCACGTGAGTTGAAATTTGGCCGAATGTTGTCATGGTCACTTCTGTTAAGACCAGACCCATGTAAGTCTGCCAGCATAGAACCCAAACAGTGAGAGACCTTGGGGACACAAAAGCCAATGGCTCAAGAGCACGTCCAAAACAAGCCAAGAGCCCAGAATGCAAAAGTCACGGCAGTTTCGCTGTTCGCAAGCCCAGACGTCCGAAAGCGGAACAGTTTCGCATCGGGTGAACACAAGCCGAAAGCACACACAGGCAGGCTTCGAGAAAAGCGCACGGTCCCGGGCCGCGCGCGCGCGCGACACATGCCAACATCCCGAAGCTGATCAATTACTCTTCACGTTGGAACCCTGTAACGTTGACACATGTTGACACACTGTTTGGGGAAAAGCCTCTGACTGTGTGAACATGTTGGGAGTCATGTTCGCAACACCAAGCTGCGAAGGTCACCGGCGGGCGTCACTGCGCTTCAAATGGCATTGTGCTCTCTGAGAACTATGTGTGCCTAAGCTGTTGACTCGCAGATGGGTCGCTGCTCTTTGGTGCAACAGCCACCTACTTTACACCTACGTTACTGCTGATATGCAGTGCTTGCAGGTCAAGACGGCACTTCTTGATTCTCCGAGATCGCAGCGGGCAATACCTTTTACAAGATGTTGGAAGTACAACTGGAACGTTCCTGATGGTCCGAGAAGAGTTGCCTTTGGACCACCAGATGATTATCCAGCAGCTCGTGCTGGAAATCAGCTTCTGACTGGGGGCGCTTTACAAAGGTTGCAGGCGGCCCTTGCAGTTGCGGTACTGCAGGAGAGTATTCAAGAATATTTCAAGAGCTAAGGTTGGGCACCACGGAGCTGACAGTGCACATCGAGGAGGAATGCTGCACGCTGGTCGCAACCGAGGGTCCCGACAAGGAAAGGGGGGCGAAGGAAAGTGGATTCGGCAACCCTGATGAGCACACAGCACGAGTATTCTGCATGTAGTGACGCCGATCTCAGTGCTTTTTAAGGCAATGCGTTCGCGCAAAGCCCAGATACCTTTGCAGGACATCAGCGCGATGGTCCCTCCACAGGGCCTTTTTGTGGGCAGAGAGGCGCCATCCAAAACCCTTGTGGTTTTTAGGGTCTAGAGAGTCTAGAGTTTAGGGTTTACATCCCAATGACTACTTCAGCACCGCGAACTTCGTTTAGCTCTTCCTCAGGTCGAACACCTCCTATCTTGCAGCAAGTTTCGAACCTCAACTCCTTTCATGTTTTGCTACCTCCGTTGATTCTAACGATTCTAACGTCGCCACCTACTCGATGCTCCAAATCTATTCCGATGATTTTTGCAGGAAATAAGCGCCGAAGCAGCCTCCAAATGAAGAAGCGGAGAAAACAGAAAGCTTCAGAAGACACTGAGAATTTAGAGTTTCGATCAGGCGCTTCCAAAATATTAGCCGCCAGCCTTCATAAATTTTCACGAGAGTTGATCTCATTTTGGGCATCCTTAGTTGCCAATCAACATGTGCCCAAAACAGGCCTTACGCCCAATGGACGCACTCGAAATCCAACGCAAAAAGCCGAATGATTCCGGTTCCATGCGTTGCCAGCGCAACTCGCGGTCTCAGATTATCGAGCAAAGTGAGGCTGGAAACGGCCTTTGCATCAGGGACCCTCAGATCTCTGCATTCCACTGCGAGGTGCGGCCAGATTGCGTGACCGGATTGTACGCTCATCAGTCGCCATGTGCGCCAGTCAGTAGTGACGTAGTGCGCAGTGACGGGCTTTCAATACTTTGCGGTTTATTGCAGCTTAGCCGAGAAGGCCAATTCAGATTTGGGTATCCTGCATGTCCTGGCATTGCCGACCGCTCCAACATACGGTGTATGTCATGTTGCGAAGTTGATTGTACTGAAATATTTTAAAAAGAGATGTCTTTGGAAGGTCCGTCCTGCACCTGACCACGGTTTCATCTTGGATGACAAATATTCCACGAATCGAACATGGCTGCGCTTGGCTGCCGACGGATGCTTGTTCAGCAGAAAGATGATAAAAAGATGGGAGACACCAAGTGCTAATCTCTTTCAAGTAGCTCGGATGGACGTACGCATGACAGCGACGCGTGCTGCAACAGTTTCGCGCGACATCATGCGACATCTGGACCATTCTCCGAAGCCTGTTCAAGCGAGGTCAACCGTCGAAGCGATACTTGCTTCGAATTGGCGACCTTTTCAAAGTGGGCTCTACGCTCTTCCATGCACTCCGGCAAAAACTCAGTCGATGGTTGCATGTGGTTGCGCAGACGGGGCACGGTTTCATGTGTCATGTTGTTGGAGTGGTTTGCCATGCGAGAGGCCGGTTCAACAGAGTGATACGTGACTGTGAATGCATTGCCCTTGAGACCTTGAGAACGCCTTGGTGCAGTATTCTGCCGATGGCATCATGTGCACACAAATGCTGAGCGTCCAGCAGCAAGCACGAAACAGGGCCTGCATAATCCCACAGCCATGTGAGTCGTGCGCGTATCTATGGCCATGGTTTGCCAAGAGCATCGAATGCGTTCTGGGCTCTTCCCTACAGTTCGGTTGGCATTTCCCCAGATTCTGAGGTGGTGGAACCTCCGCCGCTGGAAGCTGCTTGCATTAACAGAAGCTGCTCGCGCGTGGAACAGAACCCGACACCGACAGCGCAAGAGTGACGTGTGACAGATTGTGACAGAGGACGTGCCGGGTGAAGCGCTGCCTTCAGACCTGGACCCATTGGATCACACCCGATTTCCCACCTCGCCTAGTTCCGCAGAGGAGCCGGAGTTGAGAGCCTTGGCTGATATGCGATTTAACGCACAAAGCACAGCATCAAGTCGATGCACTTGGGCTTGTGAGAACCACTTCGAAGGTGACGATGTTGAAGCGGCTGTGCCAGGAGCCATACCTAGCGACTCTTGGCTGAGCAGGGCCTGTGCTAGAGTTTGAGAGTTTGCACATGTTGCATTCGTGGTGCTACAATTTCGTGCCCCAGGGTTCGATGGGATAAACATGGCCGAGAGAGACGGCCGGGATAGAGTAGAGCGGGACCTTCGGGCACCCCTGAGGCAGAAGAAGAAGAAGAAGAAGAAGAAGAAGAAGAAGAAGAAGAAAAGAAGAAGAAGCCAAGGAGTCTCAACTCAGATGGGAGCCCGTGCTGGAGGGTGATGCTAGGTTCCTCCTGTATTTCTGTTTCTTGTTCGTCTTCTGGCTCCGAGTCTTACTTGTGACCTTGGTTCCATTTGGAGCCTTCCGGTAGGCCGTCGCTTTCTCCAGAAGAGTATGCCCGGCGACTGACATCTTCCCGGCGGCAGATGGCAGAAGGCGAGCTCAGCGCGCGATGTCGGCGCGGGCTAGTCTGACAAAGAGATGCCCATGCTTGTGTCGTGCATTCTGTCTTGCGGGCTTCTCTCGACCAGGCTCTGTGCGGAGGGCGGCAGGCACAGCCAACGACCTGCAAGGAAGTCAGGACAGTTGCCGGATATCAATTGCAGGATGATGCACAGAGCAACATCTCTGCAACAATGCATGTCAATTAAGGCGATGTTCTAGTTTACCATGTGCCAGGATGCCCGAGTCTTCGACATGCAGGAGAGAGAGCTCTCTTCCTTACAGCAGCGCATGCGGAACTCACGGGCACAAACTGCCTACACGCTGCAGCAGCAGCGACAAGGACACCTGCCCGCATAAAGAGACGCGAGGGGCAAACGCAGGGCGCAGACATTGAGTCACAAGCTGTCGCCCAATTGGTGATGCGCAAATTGGGCCACAGTGTCAGCTTCTTGCTGAGGAGGAGAGCGCAGGGATGAGCGACGAGACGAAGACCTCTGCAAAATCTGCTACGACGAGGTCCTGGACCTGCTACAGCACAGTTTGTGGAGAGTTTGTGCTGTCAACCGAGCGGCGATTGTGCGCTATGCAGTCCATGGGCAGTGCTTGCCAAGCTTGTGAGGTCATCGATGTGGTGCTCTACCCATGTGGCCACTTCATGCTTTGCAGATGGTGCGCGCAGTTGGTCTCAGACTGCCCAGTCTGCCGATACGTCATTACGGATGTCATTCGAACATACAAGGCTCCGACCTTCCACATGATTTGCCTTTGTGATTCACATTCTAGGAGAGCGTGCTAGGCCCTTGCACCGCTCATGCTACGTAGTGCCGTGCTAGTGATGCAGCTTGTTGTGTGCAAGTGCTTCAGTCGTTGATGCCCTGCAGGCCTGACGCGGCTTCCCCAACAAGCGGAATTGCTGCGCAGCCCGTGTAGCCATGTCACACCACGTCGTCAATCAGCCGACAACGCGTACGTGCACCTGCTGCAGCCTGCTGCTGAAAAGAGAAGCTGTCCGTCCAGTGTGTAGGAAGCAGCATGTAGCACGCGTCTCCCTCGTCGGGTCATAAGAATCCTGATGTTCTCTGTCACGCATGCCGCCATATGCCGACCTAACATCAACAAGCTTGGGCCAGTGTTATACGCCCTCATCTGACTGGCTGCGGGGTTTAGTTTGCCGACCAAAAACATGTTTTGGTTGCAGGACGGGTTGGCAGTTGACGCCAACATATTTGTCAACACGACTCACGTTATGCCGGTGCAATGGTGATTTCTCTGTTAAACTTTTTTTGCTAGGTGCGCGCGAGGGCATCTCCAAATGGAGATCGCATCACTTCTCTCAATTCGAGCTACGCACATGAGTTTCCGAAGCGTCTTCCTGCAGACTCTCTTATTTGGAAGCGTGCCGGGATGAAGCTTCCATGGACTTCCAAAGGTTTTGTCATCACGATCCCTTCTTGGGTGTTCCTTCTGCTCATCCTGAGACGTATCAGATGAGCGTCTGTGATTCATTCGCATGCCCCACATCAAGGGTCCTATTCATCTTCGCATGATGAGTATTGTCCAGACTTCAACCCAACTTCTGTTTCAATATCATCTTCACTTGAAACACAAAGTCATACTTGCTTGACGCATCATGACTCTGGATGCTTCGGTCCGCTTCCTCGAAGTGCACAACCATGTTTGTCCCAGCGCTGCGTGAGGCAGAGCTGCAACGCCTCAGGGGCTATCGGGAGGCGCTCGATGTGACATAGGGCAACTCATGGCGCCCTTTCCCTGCCCTAAAGTTGGGGGCAATCTTGGGGTTTCAGAGGTCCTGGCGACCCTGAGCCGGCAGTCCGAGGAGCTGGAGGCCCATCTCGGAACATGTTCGGAGCACTGCATGACTGCTGTGCTCAGCCTGGGAGCCTCAAAGCGTTTTGCAGTTCGGCTGTTGTCACGTGCAACCCGGTCAAGCTTCAAATCAGCTGGGCTGTCACGTGCATGTGCCGCATGTCACACACCATCCCCTGCCCAAGCCTCAAGCACACATGCAGCTATGATCAGCCATGCAGCTGTCAGGCACTGAGTGGGCAGGCTGGGTGCTTGACAGTGCTTGCCACTGTGAGTGTGCGCGTGAGCGTGCGTGAGCATGGGTGCACACAGCCCTTTCCACAAGCAGAATTAGAGGAGTCCATGGACTTGTCCCGCATCACTAGTCTGCCGGAGAAGGCCGGCAGAACCTGAAGGCGGTCGGCTGTCTCGTGTCGGTGAGCCTCAGTGAGCCACAGGTGAAGGTGGACCTCGCTCTGGCATTCTTATCCGCGCTCTTGGGCCGCAAGCATCAGACCCTATTGAGGCTCGGCCTCCAGAAGCAGCCTGTGCCCAGTGTGCCCCTTTGAAGGCATTTGAAAAGCCTATGCTGTTGTCGAGTCTTGGGGCAGGTTGGTGGAGAAGCAGGATGCAGAGTGTGATGACGCGGACAGCCCGAAGTCATGGGACTCAGGCAAGGAGGGCCCTCTTGCTGCGCTGTCAGCACTACATGCAAGCCCAAGCTGCGTGATCTAGTCAGGCAGTAGTCGGGTAACCGGCGCTTGGGCCCGCGATAGCCTGATCTTCCGCACAGGATCCGCAGAAGCCAGATTGAAAGATGCTCTCGACAGCACCTGGGCTACATGAGGCAGCACGATGCTTGCCACTGCTTGCACAACTCCAGAAAGCACGACTTAGCAGAAGTACGTGCCTCTTCCAAGGTCATGTGGAAAAGGCCTTTTCTGGAATGGCAAGCAGCTGAGAAGTGATTAGGGTTTGTGTTGCACAACGAAACATAGGACTACCATGGACTACACTAGGCACGCAGTGCACATGTGTCCGCGCGCACGGGGTGTGCATGTCCTCTCGCAGCTAGAAAGGATGTGTGGGGCCTAGTGTAGGGTTAGGTCTCAAAACTGCCCGCGTTCCAGCAAGAGGCAGCGGAAGAGTTGTTTAGAGAAGTGCTTTGAGGGCCCGTGCAGTCGCCACCAAGTACAGCCCCGTATGCATGCGAGCGCAGGCTAGTTGAAAAAGGATTTGCCACCACTGTTGTTGAACAGATTTGCTCTGTCGCCCCCTCAAACAAGCGAGATTTACAATGGTCCACTTTGACCTGCTCTCCCGGATCATGAAAAGGAACGTGGGAGCGAAGCTCAAACAAGATATTGCGAAATGCAGCTTCCGAAACCATCTGAAACCCAGGATCGTGTTGAAGTGGCAACAAAATACAAAGCGTATTGAAGCCCTGAGGTCCGCTTGTTGGGCTTCGGAGACGCAAAGCGCGAGGCTAAGGTTACGGAGTTGGCGAGCAGCTATCTCAAGGCGCGCGCACACTGGCGTTTGGCCGCCATTGGCTGCAGCCCTCCTGCGCCATCCGTACTGTCTGTCAGTTTTTGTGTGGTTTGTCACATGCCCAGGACTTTTTGTGCTTCCATTGCTTGAAACGTGCCGAAGCAAGAAATATCTGCCTCTGCCCAGAGCGTGGCTCAACCCCCTACGGGTGGAGGTCCAAGCAAATCGAATCGGCCGCCACCAGCCAGCGTGCCTAGAGTGGTGTCAGGCCATGACACAGAGGACTGAAGGGAAATAATAAGACAGGTCTGCATCATGCCATCGTGCTGTTCTGTTTGCGTTCGAGTTGTCATCCTACGATGTCGGCGTGGAACATGAGCCAACAAGCATTCAAAAAGAAAGTTTGCTTTTGGTAAGGGGGGTGGTGGGGTGCTATCATGGCGTTCCAGCAGTATAAGGGTTCCCAGGTTCCTAAGTAGATGCCTCATACGAACTCGATGATTGATGTGCATGATACGTCGTCCTACCGGCCCTGCTGGAGGACAGCTTTGGACGAGGTGGATGCCAAGGGCAGCTTCAAGAGGACAGCATGCCGTGCTGGGCCGTGCTTAGGCATACACTACAAGAGAGTTGGTCGATTGATGTGCACGGAACGGACGCTACCTGCGCTCAATAATCTCCCGCCAAGACAAAGTATCTCTGTACATATATATATATATATATATGGGGTGTACGTACTGCAATTGCTATTGGCAATTCGCAAGGCTGGTTCCGTTTTCTTTTTGCGACCGTTTCTCGTCAGTAGGTGAACCATGACATGCTTGACGTCTCTTGTATTTCTTTCTGGTACTTCGATGTTTCGCTTATTCGAGTGCGCCTTGTTCTTGGCATGCTGTACTCTTGAGCCTCTGCTCGCCTCATCCAGTAGCAGCAGGATGCAGCCCATGCCAACCCCGGTCTTCCAGTAAGTGCTTCTATCATGGGGCTACCTTAGCAGGGTGGCCACCGGAGCCTGAAAAAATGGAGGACGGATGCCACCTATCGCAATGTCATTGAGGAAGGTGGTCGCTTTGAGCCCGCGTGGGGCCGCTACCATTTGTACGCAGCTTGGCTGCCAGGTCCAAGAGGCAGCACTCGTAACTCGGAACTCGTAACCAGAGTTTTTCTTAGCTCGGCCGCTCGACCGCTCGAAGACAGCTACCACATTGAAGGTGTTTTAGGAATGCTAGGAAAAGCATCGAAGGCATTCGGAATGAGTTCTAGTCAGATATGTGATATTCCATACTTTGGGGGCACGGCAAGAGACTGGCTGAAACACTTGTAACCATTAGGGCTAGAGGCACACGTTTGAAGGGGTGCCACCGCTGGGGCATTAGCCGGTTGGCATCGCATGGCTATTTCTTTAGCTGTATCGCGATGCTAGCCACCGGGTCCGGGCGAACCACCGCATCAAATGCCGGGCGAAGAGCTTGGCCAGGCAGAAAAAAAATTCACGGGCCACCGGGCGAGTGAATTGGAAAAGAAACTTGGCAAGGTGGTCCAGAGATTGTCCCGGGCTGGGGCAGATCGGCGGATAGGCGGCTAGGCTTCACCGCTATTGCATTGGGCTAGGCTTCACCGCTATTGCGTTGGCCAGGGAGACCATTCCTCGATCCAGGGCACGGCGGGCTTGTAATGCCGGGGTGCCCGCGCCGTCGATAGAAGTGGAGAAGCACTGGGCCTCGATGTGTCCACTCGCTCAAACGCTGATCGTTCAAGCGCTTGCGAGCTTGCACTTTCCAACAGTCGAGGCTTAGGTGTTGCACGGGGTAAGTGGGAGTGTCGACTGGGCAAGGAGCTAGAATATGCACTTGTGACGTGCAACAAGTTACGACACTGTATGCTAGCTCGGCCTCGCGCAGGTAATTGACTGCAACATCGACAGTGTGATAGGAATGCATAGGAATGCTGTGCAAAATGTCGAAGGCACTTTGACTGGAGGAATAGTGGAACATGTTTTATACACAGCTAAGACGTTCCATCCATTCAGGGTTACGTGGCAAAACAGTGTCTGAAACATCTCATTTGGGCTACAAAGGCCTCAGTTTAGGGTGGCAATTTTGCATAGTCACTATTCAACCCACCCTCAGGAAAACTCCGTCCACTCGCTACAAAACAGATTGTCAGCGCATGTCGGAGCGCTCGCGAGTTTGCCTCTGCACTTACGTAGTGTAGCTAGGAAACAATGGCCTCTAAAACCAACATAGCTCGACATGTCAAGAAACAATCGCCGTCGACTCAAGAAGTGCATTTGGGGTGTAGCATCGCAGTCTCAGTGGCAGTCCACGTGAGGGACGTGTAAGCGCACACCAGCTTAAGGTGGCACTCGCGTGTCCGTGGGCAGACGGGGCCCTGGCAGCGCTGTACATGAAAGGCCTCGAGCATGTCATCAGCCACAGCGTGGTCCTTCGGCAGCACCGAAGGGGCATCGGACCATGCTTAGTTCAAGCCCTCACTCTTGCGTCACTTTCGCCAGTTGCTTTCGTTGCGTTGGCTAAGGTCCACCCAACTTGGCAGAGAACTCGGCCGCAGAACCCCGGTGACATGCATTGCGGATGGGTGTTCAGAAATCCTGGCGACCCACCACTTGCAAACAGTCTAGGCTATGGCCAGTTTGAGTGTGATGATGCGTTACTTCCCGACATCGTGAACAATTGCAAGTTCGTGAGAGACTTGTACGAGAAGTCCAACGACAAGACCGGCAAGTACAGCACGCCTGTGCTCTGGGACAAGCGAGAAGGCACCATAGTGAACAACGAGTCGATGGACATCCTGAAGATGTTCAACACGAAGTTCAACAAGTTTGCCAAGAACCCAGAGTTGGATTTGTTTCCGGCGCACCTTGCCAAAGTGACGGAGGAGGCGAATGCGTGGATCTACCCAAACATCAACAACGGCGTCTACAGATGTGGCTTTGCCAAAACCCAGGAGGCATACGACATAGCCGTGAAGGATTTGGCCGCAGCTCTTGACAAAGCGGAGAGCCTTCTGTCCAAACAGCGCTATGTGGCAGGCGATAGCTTCACGTTTATGGATCTCAGACTCTTCATGACCCTCGTACGCTTCGACCCTGTCTATGTGGTTTACTTCAAGACCAATGTGGGCACCATCGAAAGTAACTACCCGAACCTGTTCAACTACATCAAGGACATTTACCAATATCCAGGCATGTCAAAGGCCATCAACATGAAGCACATCAAGATGCACTACTTCACCTCACATCCCGACTTAAACAAGTTTGCAATTATCCCAAAGGGCCGTGACGTGGACTTGAGTGGGCCTCACAATCGGGGAAAGACTAGCGCCCCGAGTGACGTGTCATGCTGGGCCAAGATCTTGGACTTCTTTTCGGGGCGAAAGTGACCAGGCAAGCGTCGGCCAAGCGGATGTGCAAGTAATCGCCTTGGATACACGATGGGCAGCTTGCCAACCGAGAGTAGTAGGTCGACATCTGGTCATTTGGCCTAAGCTTGGTGAAATCAAGCAGTGGTAGTCTACCGAACCAAAACACATGCACGCTAGCGACGCGTTGTTGCACTTTTGCAGTCTTTCCTGATTGCGCAGCTTGTCTGCATCAGCATTATTCCTGCTAAAAGGCCTGCTTACTAGAGATTCCGCGCAGGCATGCCCTGTGCCCACATCCAAATTTCGGTAATGCTGCATGGCCAAAAAGCGTTGCGTGAATGGCAGTGTGCTGACTGCTTCATGTCCAAGCCATAGAGAAGGCAAAAGACTTCCGCACGATCTTCCGCGCGTCCATTGCGTCCATGGTAGGGATCGTTGGTGTAAAACTCTTTGTGCAGGCTCCGAGGCTGGGCCCTTGGAAAGCTTCTCTGCGTCCTTCATTCTACCATTACAATCATTACGCGTCTTCGGCTGTTTCATGCTGTTTCCAATCTTTCTCTGAGCCAGGCGGGTGACCACTCTGAGTCTAGTTCAAATGTCGCCTCAATTCCGACTGCTCGATGAGTTGGCTGATGTTGGCTGTGAGGTCAAGGTGGCCTGATCTTGCAGAGCTCTGTGCTTCCGCCGTGGCCAAAGCAATCAGCATTGAGTTCCTGACTTGATGTATTGCAGCTTATCAAAGACAGAAGTTGCACTGGTGGTCTGGCTCACAGAGACTTAGACGCCTGGCTTAAAACAAGCATCCTTTGCAGCAAGATGTCCTCGACGAAAGCAGTGGTTGGAGCTGCGATGCTTGCAAGCCCATTGGCCTTCATCGCGCCTGCAGGCTGCTTGCGATGCAGGTTTTTGTAGTGGCCTGGACATGGTTCCTGAATGCTTTGCACAGGCGCCCCGCAAGCAGTCCCTCGCGCCACCCGCCCCGCAAGCGGAACTTCTGCCACAAAAGCGAAGTTTGACACTGCTGGCGCGGCCTTGGTGGCCACTGCTGGGCCACTCGGCCATTCAGTTCAGGCGTCAGGCATCCATTCCATACGTTGACACAAGAATCGGGGGGTGGGGGGGGGGGGGGGGGGGGGGGCAGCGTGGAAAAGGGAATAGCCAGCTTCCCCGTGCCGACCAGTCTTGAGCATCCTCGAGCTCTCGAGCTCCAGGCTGGTGGCTGCGGGCCGCCGCGGCTCTCGTCAGGTGCGACGGGCAGACGACGCCGCCTACGGCGCAGGGCGCTCAGACCCTTTCGGACACATAGTCCCCCAAACAGCCCCGCCTCGTTGTAACTACATCGCAGACTCGGAAGCTCTTGAAGCTGCCCAGGCGTCGCACACCTCATTCTACACCGACGCAGTGGCAAAGGACAAGTACGACACCTTGGAGGAAGTCCCCAGGCCTAAAATGTGCCGAGGTGTACTGTGGGCCGCCCAATGAGATCTAGAGTTGAGGGCTAATCTTCTGGAAGGGCAGTGCCATGAACTGCCAAGGTTCTCGCAGACAAACTGAAGGACCAGAAGCTGAAGGGCATGGTGAACGAGCTTCTGGATGCGTGTGTGAAGATCACAGAGGCCGGCAGGGCTTCCTTCATGAGTTTTTTTTTGTGATTCTGTGCGCGGCTCCGCATCTTTGTACGAGGCTCTCCGGGTTAACCTAGTCACCGTCAACGATGCCTCGAACGCTTTTGGCGACCGCCAGCTGACGGTAGATGTGATCGCCGACAATCTTCTCTGGGACCTGGCCAAGCTTCAGGGCAGCAAATTACTTTGATTCTTACATGAACCTATGAATCTTGAGAGAGCCACGAGGATGGTCAGGTAGGTATGGATGCTTGAGTCCAACCGCACGCAGACTGAGGTCTTCAAAGTTTGTCTACGAGGCCTCTTCTGAAGAGGAGCCGGAGATTGTCAAAACCAACAGTGACGGCCAATATGTTCTCTGCTGGGATCCCTTGGATGGAAGCTCCATTGTGGAGCCTTGGCTTCACAGCTCCGCAGCTTGTTGGCGTAGTGGGCTGCTTCCACCACAACTGAGGACAACAACTGGGCCGTCGGAACGATCGTCGGCGTTTGGGACAAGTCCACTGGCCTCATCGGAGCTACTGGTCGTGACCAGGCAAGCCCCGGCTGCAAGAACAAAGCGCAGTTCCAGCATGCCACACATGAGACCGGAGTACAGTTCAAGTAATGCTAGGAGCCACCGAGTAAGTTGTGCTTGCAGGTGTCTGGTCAGGGCCTGGCTTTTGCAACGAGGTATTGTTTTTTGAAGCATCCAAGAAGAGCCGCCGCGCAGAGCAGAATCGAAACAATACAAAGCCAGCCAGGAAAACTGCAAACGCAAAAAGCAAAAGCATGGAGATATGAACTAGCACCCCAGATCTTCTAGACCTGTGTATGTGCCGTGCGTGTAGCAGCTTGGGTGCACAGTGCCCAGATCCGTGTAACAAACACATGCCGATGTACTGCATCAGGGAAAAATCAAGCCATGTCCATGCACGCGCGCGAGGTGATGAGCCTCGTGGCTCTCTATGGCCCGCGAACCACGGCTCCTTTGGCACAAACAAGCCGCGTGATGTCGCTGCCACGTCATGTAAAGTGCCGAGCATGTGCAAGCAGGTTTTCATCACCCTGGATGACGGCGTCTACGAGTTCACGCTGGGAGACGGCAACGAGTGGATCTGCTCCCGTGATAAGATTCAGATCAAGCCTGAGTGCAAGATCTTCGCGCCCGCGAATATGCGTGCAGCTCAAGAAGTGGATGGATACAACAACCTGATCCAGCACTACATGACCAACAAGTTCACGCTGCGTTACACTGGTGGTGCCTTGGGTGCAATGGGTCGTCATATTTTGAAGCTTGAAGTTGCGTCACCAGATATCACCCGAGCCGTGAACCGCAAGGCCTGGTGCCTGATGTTTGCCAGCAGTTCACCAAGGGCCAGGGTGTGTTCACCAACCCGACTTCCAAGGCTTTGGCTGCGTCCTTCCTAGACAATCCTAAACATGGCTACAGTAGGGCAGGAGGGTCCTGCAGGGGCAGTTGCGCCAGTTACACGACGCTCTTTGCAGGCGTCCCCAGCAAAGCTGCGCTTGGCCTTTGAGGTCAGCATCGCGGAAGTTGCTGTGCGTCCCCATGTGCTTGCACTTGTTTACATACATCTGCCCCCAATTGCAGTCTTCGCTGATGTATCAGCACATATAGGCGACTTCAGTCAGCCGTGTTTCTGTTTCTGCTGCAGTGCCATCTGCACAGCACCCGCAGCTAGCTGCACTTCGACTTGGGGGCTGCGCACCAATGATCATGAGTGTTGAGTTCTCGTCATGTTGGATGCAGGCTGCCCCGTTTGGCCGACTTGTGGAGATGTCAGGCCAGATACTTTTAAGCATTGCCCGCGGGGGTTGAAGCTGGAAACAGCAGTGGTGGTTGGCCGATCAGCCCCTGAACGCTGTAATTGGAGATGCTGGGGCATACTGTGCATTCGCAAGGTGGCAAGACCTCGGATGGCGTGAGCGGCAACAGTGTCCTGGACCAGCATGTTCTTGAGCGTGGTGGGTGAATGAGGCTCTCGCTATTCCGGCGCTTGAGACATCATGGCATCCTACGCAGGACATGAAGATCACCGCGGTGGACCAGCGAACTGCTTTGGCCATCGGATCAGCCCAGGAGCTGTTCGGTTTGTAGGCATCTCCATACCTGAGTTCGGAGATGTTAGATGTTTGTCAAAGCACTGTTAGGAGTTTTTTGAAGGGTATTGTGGTCCTGCTCAGGAGGTGGAGCGTTTCAACGACATGGTTCTGCAGAAGTGAGTATTTTCATAGAGAAGTGAGGGCGGAGCGCAGCTCCAGCCCAATCTGCATCTTATGCCATGCTGAATCTTGATAATCTTTGAATCTGTTTGACTTACAGTTTCATTTCTCCCACGATTTTGGTACTGCCCTGAGGAGCTTCAGGGACCGTTGCAAGCAAGAGCGTGTCTGCCCCGATGCCGAAAACAAGCACACCAGCGACCTTCCCTAACTGTATCAGGCTGTATTGACGCCGGGAGCCCCCTGACAGTAAAGAAGCCGATGATCTGTCAAGCACCCCTTCCCGGAAGGTTCTGGCTTCACTGAAGATCAAAAGTCTAGGTATTCTAGGGCAGACACTGAGAGGCGATAAGGTTGAAGGACTGCTCGAGTGATGGGGGCCGCTGTTAGCTCTAGAGGCCAAGGGTATCAAGCCAACTTGGGCGATCAGAACGCAATCCCGGACGTCAGATTGAACAGCTGATACTTGCAGCCCAGCCAGCCTGCGGTTATGAAGAGTCTCAAGTCGGGCACCAAACTTTCATGCCTTCCGGAAGCATCCGGAAGCTCGTGCTCAGGTCCGCCGTGCAACGGCAGGCCAAAGTGAGGACTGGAATATGCGGGAAGGGAGGGCGTAGGAGTTGCAGGAGGACTGGCTTGGCCTGGTGTGTGTGTATATATATATATATTATGCCTGTGTCTCCTGTGTCTTGTGTGACGTGTGTGACTTGTCTAGTGCAAAGCTGCCTCGTCAGCCAACTATGTGATCATGGGCGCTGAAGCTTCAGCTGTTCAAGCAGAGCCCAGCGCGTGAGGAGCCCGGCGATTGGACTGCTGACTGCTGTTGGCCTGTAGGTGGTGAGGACCATCCATGCTTGCCAAAAAGCGCCTAGCAGCGATAGCATTTCCAAACTTCATCTAGTCATAGTGGCCGGAGTCACAACACAGCCACTAGCTGCAGCGCTGCTCCACATGTAAGAAAGCATTGTGGACAGCCCTCGACAATTTGCGGCTTTTACATGAGAGGATGCAGTGGCGCGGCTGGGTGCCCGGGTGCCCTTCTTTGGGAAAGCGCCACTCTCAGAGCATTTGGCCATCCTGCACAGATAAAGAGAATGGCAAGCTCTGTTCAATGCTGTTCTCCTTGCACACTGCTCGTCCATACACAGCCGAGGCCTTAGTTCCCTCTGCGGAAGTCACCGCTGACAAGCTTTCAGAGGGCAGCTTGTGGTGTCCGGAGGCAATCCAACGGCTGCAGGTGCTGCAAGGGCTGTGCGGTGGCTCAAAGCATCCATTGCCAGGACGCTTGCCTGACGTATGATGCATCCCGAGAGAAGGCATCATTGGCTGTTAGACTCTGAGAGGCCTTGAGAGGGGTGTGTTGATGTGTGTATCCACCGACGATTCTCGAGCCGAGGTCCTCTATCGGAGAGGATGTCGTGAGAAGGCACGGCAGAGACTGGTAGACAAGCACTCCTGAATTCCTTGTAAGTGAAGAATCTCGGGTGTATGTCATGCCTCACGTCGCCTTGAAGTGAATGGCGCTCGATGCTACCAGTCCACACGCAGCACACCGGAAAGGTACTGCAAAATCTCGGAGCCTCCAGCGAGGAGGATCTCAAGGCACTAGTCCAAGTCGGCCCCCTGCCTGCCCTGCCTGTGATGTTGAGGCGTTTTTGCTTGTGGTAACCTTCGCCGATTCGCTACCTGCCGGTGACCTTCCAAGCTTGCCCCTGCAGGGTCCAAGCACGCTACCTCCAGATGCGAAGGCCCATGGCGTTGCACAACGGTCACGGCGCAGGAAAATCTGCTTGCAGCGAGCGATAGCGAGCTGCAAGACGCATTTGGTTTCGAAGCATTTGTCCACGCATCGTGGAGGCCTTTAGCAGAGGAGGTGCAGCTCTGCAGCGGCCAGAGCTGTGCTAAACAAGCAGCTGTTTCGTCGTTACGCGTTGCTGTTGCTTGTGTTCTCTCTTTTTTCACCTTATGCTCACTTTGTTGCGCCATGTGGCGCCCATGATCTCCACAGGCCTCGGTCCTGGCTTCTCGCCCGGGAACTCCTAGCAGTGATGCTGGGGGTGACTTGGCATATGATATGAGAATAGCACCATATGATTCCTCTGAGACTTCGTTGTGAAGGCTGGAGCTGGGACCTTCGATGCGCGGAGCAGAGTTGGCAACCCAGAGCAGTCAAAAGCCTCTCAGCGGCCTCAGCGTAGACCTGAGCAAAACCAGAGAACGCAGAAACGAATCAAAGCGAAAGATCGTGTGAGGCCAGTTCTCTTAAGCAAATCGTTTCAGAAGGAGCCCGGTCGAAGACAGAGGTCCAAGCAACGACTTATGTCCGAACGATCGAAGCATCGAAATATGGGAGAAAAATAACACCTGCATAAGTGGCGCAGAGGAGGGGCCCTCAGGGGGGACCCTCCTCCAGTGGCACATGTTGTTGATGCCCTTGCCTCCTTGTGCTTCTGTGGAGGCCAGTGTCCCTGAATTCTGCAGGGCACTTCATATGGTTTGATTTGATTTGCTCATTCCGACAGTAACAATGAAAATCTTTATTGCGATAAGGCCCCCACCACGGAATTTTTGTCAGGTTTGGTGTCAACAGACAGGCTGCCGGCTATATATAAGTCAACTACGGTCGTGCATCTCAAGATGCGCTACTGTAAGCCTTTCGAATCCCATCGGAAATCATGGGAAGACTTCTCAACAGGCTTTTTTTTCAAGTCAGACGGCTGAAGGATAGGTCTCTCCAGATTCCCATCTCGGCTTGAAGCTGCTCTTTCCTCTGTGAACGTGTCGTTTGAGCAGGACGGCGGTTCTAGATTGTTCCCGGGATCTTGAACGTACCTGCCCAGCAGCTGTCTGTCCTGTCTTGCGAATTGCTAGCTTTACCTCTAGCTCGCAGCCTGCGAACATCTGCCAACACCAGCTTTTGGAGCTCTATGTTCGAAGTTTCATATCAATGTGGGTTTGTCTCTTGGACGAGAACAAGCACTACGAGACGGCTAACCGAACTATGGGCTTTCGCCCGGTGAAGATTTGCAGTGTGCCCACCAGTCTTTTCAGAACCCCGACGTGCTCAACCTCACGTGCGTGATCCCGAATGCCTTGCCTCTCAAAGCAGCAAGCAACGATCATCAAGGGATGGACCCAAACTCTTTACAGGCTTCTTTCTGTTCTGCGCAGATGTCAGATTTGGATTCCTACTGCCGGCCGAGCGCGACATGGCATTCCACACACATCAAACAACATACGGTGTCACATGCCTTGAATTGCGCTGCAGATAAATCCAACAAACATCTCCTCGCACAAAATTCAACCTCGACGGGAGAAGCTGATTACAAGTACAAGTTCGAGAAACTGTCGATTGGGCTTTTGATAGGCAAATGTTGAAATGCAGGGTCCCTGCAAGTTTGGACAGTTCCATCAACACTCCGATGAAACTGCGGCTTTTTTGGTGTTGAACGCGGATCGTTTTGAACAACCGGCGAAAAGTCACCTGGATGTATGCATGATCGGCACGCATTGGTGCAAGTCAGGCAGCCATCATTGAGATGATGCTGGACTGCAGATGGGGTTGAGCTGCACTTGCAGTGCAAAAGCTGGTGACAAAGCAGACATTTTTGTAAACAACATCTCAGGTTTAGCCATTTCGGCATTCCTGAACAGGTGATAGCTGGCGTGGCCCTCACACTGAAGTTGGTCCATGTCTTGCAACATGCAAAATTTCTGAGTCACATCAGCTGACAGTGCCAAGCTAGGTTGGGAGTCCGAGATTGGCGGTGCCCTTTTCGAGGCTTTGGAGGCAGAGACAACGGAGCACCCAATGTGAATTCACAGAAGCTAACTAAGGGCAATCTTGTTATTGTGGGAAGCTCCGGGAATCAAAGAGAGCCCATGCGGCCTGGGGTTTTTGGCGGGTTGGGAGGAGAGAGGGAATTTCAATAGTTTTGACTGAAGTGAAGAATCTCTAGCGTGAGGCGTTTTACATGTATGCAAGCATCTCGAATCAGTTGAATCATCATCGAACATATCGAAACCTTAAAGAGCGTGGCATGGCAACAGCAGAAAATGTCACGGGGTCTTTTGGTATGTCCATAGGTACCCTCTAGGTGGGAGTTTACGAGAGTAAAGGACGCTAATATAGACCCCCAAATAGTAGGATTCTCTTCGAAAAAGGACCCCAATAAGGTACCCCCGAAGTTCGGAATCCCCCAGGTCATCTCCCGATGGCAAAGAGCAGAACCCTAAGCCAGGCCTCCACTATCCTCGAGGCGCAGAAGGCCGCGAGAGGAAGCTGGAGGAAGAGCAAGGCCGGTCTTGAGACATTGCGATCAGAAGAGACCGAAGAGTAGTAAGAATCGACATCGTAAGATTAGTACTGGTAGTCATAATCGCAGCAATAAGAATACTAGTGAAAAAGAAGTAAATAGTAGCAGCAAGAATAACAGTAGGAATGAGGTTCGAGAAACCGACTGCGGCATCGTTTGGCTCTTGAGCTCCGTGAGAAACTCGGCCTCGCGGCTGTTTGTTGAAGCCAGTAGGTTCGCTTATTCTTGGGTTTAGGGTTTAGGGTTTAGGACCACATCTTGGGATTCTGCTTTGCAGTTTACTCGGCCATGCAATGACCACTTCTGCCTCGAGATGGTCCACGTATCGTCAAGACAAGCATGACTGCCAAATGTATCCACCATTCTCAACGACTTATGCCGGATGAGTGTCTCTGCTTCCTTGATTGGTCCGAAGCAGCTTTTTTTACTTGACCTCATTCATCACACCTCTCTGTCGCAGAAGCAGACTTCAAACCCTTGTCCCTCCTGTCGTCGCTAACCAAAGTATCTCAAGAAGGAGTCCATTCTGAAAGAACAGACTCACCAAGTTTGGCAGGAGCTGTAGTTAAGTCCACAGACCGGGTGACGACACTTGTCTTGTTCGCGGATGCTAGTACCATGTGAGTGACTTCCTGCAGGAGTGAAAGCAGTCCGACTCTCGAGAGTCACCACAAGACTGCAAAAACGAAAGCCATCCACCTCTACTTAGCACCCGTGACTTCAAAAAAAGAGACATACAGCGCTGGAAAGAGGGGCCGTCCATGACTGACATGTCACGTGCTAGTCCTGCTGCCAGGTAGCGATGGCTGCAGCTGGCGGCGGGCTTGTCTTAGCCATCACCGGCGGCCTTGCAGCAAGCTGCCGAGCTGGCGCTGTGCTGGTGAGCAGGAAAGATTAGGGACTTAGCGTCGCAGCGTCAGGCGCCCATTGTTGCCCCAGCCTTGGCAACAGGTGCCGGACCCTCAGGCGAGCGCCAGAGTATGTACAGTGCATCTCACCGTGAGCCTCGGCGCCAGACAAGGCGGCGGCAGTGGGAGCACAGGCAGCGGCAGTTGGTGCTGCAGTCGGCTTGGGCCACTGAGTGTTGGTTCATCATGGGCGCTTCATCCAAGTTCAGGTGCTTTACAGAACCCAGGAAACATGAGGGCATGACATCATTGTTATCCATGCGTCATTCAGAGCTCGCGCTCTACCAAGGCTTAACACAAGCTGGCGTGCTGGTTGGAGGCTCGGCAGTGGGCTGGGGATGTTGGCCTGGCTGAGAAGTTAACGGGACACTGATGATGCGGCTGCTCATGTACAAAGTTAGGCTAGTGGAGTCCCAGCATGTGCATATGCGGAACAAGACCAGCAGCTTTCAATGGCACCAGTCGGCCCAACAGCAAGGTGCCATCAGTGGCTTGGGAGTCGGTTTGGGCTCCATCCTGGCCTCACTGGGTGTGGATGCCCAGCTTCCACGAGAAGGTGGAGAGTTTTGATGGTCGGGTCCTTCTTTGCTTGTTGGGTTCTGTAGGAACAGCCGGCGCCGTCGCCTTGTTCGGTGCAACAGGCTGCTGCTCATCTCGTCAATTCCTGACACGGGAAACGCTGGGAAAGCATGATGCAGGAGCTGGGCTGACCGGCTGGAAGATGTCCAAGCGATGGGGGGACCTGGAGGCGACTTCATCTTCCAAAGCACCCTGAAGGCCAAAAAGGTTTTGGCTCAAGCACTGTAGAGCCAGAAGCTGACGTCCAGCATGTTCTCCAGGCTGGTTCACATGCGGAAGGATGGTTGCGTTGACGTGGCATGTGGAAGCATGCGCTCAAACCCTGGAGACCGGTATTGAAGCATCGACGCAAACAGAAGAAGCCAAACCTGAGCTTTGTGACACCAAGCTCGAGGATGACCAAGGCCACGCTTCCTCAACGGAACCTATCGACTTGGCATGGACAACACTCTACAAGAATATAATATGAAGGCTCATCACGAACAACCAGTGGCCCATCCGCAGCCACAGCAACAACTGGCTACCCCCAAGAGCAGGGTATGCCTACGAAATCCTACGAAGCAAGCCAGCAGTTGACGTCATTGTTAGTCAGATGAGCGACTACATCTTTCAGAGCATCAGAGTTGCACAAGCCATGGGATACTCAGGGCGGCGGCTAAATTCAGATAATTCAGAATCCATCAAACCTTGGCATAGCCTTCAAGTTCGTTCCGGCTTCAAGGGCCTCTGTTACATGACACCTGTTGCAAAGCTACCGGTCTTCAGCCAGCCTACTCAGTAAACACCGCATGATCAACTTCAAGGCCCATTCAAGGGTTTGGCACGGTCAACGTCAGAGGAGTTCGAGTTCCAGCCGCTCGAAAGCGCTTTCAGGACTGCTGCAAGACCACTTTCTGCCACAGAATTCTTGAAGCAGAACTGCTTCAGACGTGCTAGATCTTTACATGCACATGTCGCACGTAATTGTGGTACTGCCACGGATCAGGACCATCCAAGAAACAGTTGACTTGGATGACGAAGTGCGCTTCTCACGCTACTTTGTCAGATGCACGTGCCGGACGCTGCCGCAGCGTATGTACTCCTCCTTTAGATTCCCTCGTTGCACGTACCGCCAATGTCCTGGTTCCTGGCTTTTGAGGAAGCTACGGCGGCATTGGATCAAGCGACCACCGACACTTGGCCTGCCGGAGTATTATTGTCGAGTTACTGACGGCAGATTTCCTTGTCCTTTGAGTACAGCATAGTAACGTCTCCATGCGTGATGATTTCATAGCCAAACATATTTGCCGAGTGCAGCTGCACTTGAGGCACCAAGTTCAGCTTTGTCGGAGGTGTTTGACGGTAGGGTCGAGTTATTTTAAGCGATGAGGACGGTATTCTGCGAGAAGATGTGGGGGACCCCGGTTTGTGTGCAGAAGCTGAGGAAGTCTGGGTCAAGTAAGAAACCCAAGGCGCAAGGACAAGTTGAGGTGAAACTCGTTTCTTTGCCTCTTTCCCTGCGCTTTTAGTCGGACCCCAGCCCCCCCCCCCCCCCCCCGAATTTGTTCAGAATTCGCATCAGGTTGCTGTGACGGTGGTTGGTGGTGGCATGCAGGCTCTCCGAAAAGGCTCTTTGGAACGCCTTTTTGGATCGCAGAGTCGCAGACACAGCTCCCCGCCACAACTCTACCAACCTCCATTGTAGGCAGCGAGCTGATGCGCCGGCATCTCAGAACCTTTTGTGGGTCCTTGCAGCTGGTTGTGTGACAGATTTCTGTGCCATTGCTGTCTGCCTCACAGGCCGACAGACGGTGCCTAACTCTGGCAGCAGGCATCGCTTAAATTCAGCACACTACAGTGCAAACAGCAACGCTAGGTCACTGGTAGAAAAATGCCATCTGTCTTTCACATAGTAGCTTAGTGCGCCGCCCTGCGAGTTCTGGCGGGAGCACAGCTGTTCGCTACTACTTCCAGCACAAAGTGGACCAGGCGAAACTTGCGCAGCAAACAGGCAGTGTGTAGAATCGAGAGACGACGACGACATTTCTGGTGTGATTCTGAGTATGAGAGTGGCTGAGGGTGGGCATGTCTTTTCTCTTTTGCGTCGTTCCCCATCCGTTGCGCGAGCAGGTGCAGAGGTCTGTTCACTTGGCCCTTTTCGTCTCGGGTTGGATCCAAGACAGGTTGCTGCCTCAGCGCCGAATTGTGAAACAACCCCCCGGAGCTTCACCACGCTTCACCCTTGTGCCGGATCAGGGCCGACTTTAGAAAGCCATGGATGGACGCGGCAAAGGCAGGACGCGAAGCTTCAAGAGTTGTCCTCCTAAATTTTCTCAAAATTTGGCTTTTGCAGCTGCCTGCCCCAAGGTGTTCTTCCCAAAAAGTGGTCATTTGGTTTCGGCCTCAGCTCGCTTGAGAAGTTTCTGGACGAGGCACCAACAAGATCTGGCAACCTCCAGTGCAAAAAATGAGCGTCTCCTGGCCACGAGGCACTGCATTGGGAGACGCAGGAGCTTCTCGACGTGAGTGGGGTGTCTTCGTCTCAGAGTCTCATCGCATGGGTGCATCCTCACTCTTGTCGATGCACTCATATGCCATGAGCTCACGTTGTGTAGCCTTTGCATGCCTTTGCCGATGTAAATGGAACATTTTGAGCGAAGGTTTGGCCAAATGGTTGCTCAGGAAGTTGCTTCCAGCACCGCTGCTTTGCGGCAGCTGGAGAATCTAGTGTGCCCCCTCGCATGACGCAAGACATCGGCAAAACTGAGGCATCATTTTGGTGGGGGGCTGATTGGCTCATTCCTTGCAGAAAATCGCAAGCACAACAAAAAATCCGACCAAGTCTGAGACGAGCAGGTTCAAGTCAAGTGCAGTGACCAGCGTGGCCGCAGCAGGCCAAGTCAGGGAAGTTGCTTCGCATGTGAGGGACAGAGGGACATTGTGGGATGATTGGCTTTGAGCTTCATGAACACCCTCCACACGAGTATTCCTGACAACGCGTGCTTTGAAGCAGAATTATACCCAATGTGCGGAATTCATATGCCACAGGCATGTTGAATGCCATGCTTCATGCCTAAATTGGCTCTCAGCTTCCCCGATTTCGGGTCCCGCGCGGCCTCGGGGAATAGATGGCAGGGTCGGGGGAAGAGTTGCTCCTCGGCGAGTCAAGACACGAAGAAGTGAATGCACCATACCATGCACCGGTTGCTCGTGCTCGCGTTTCCATGAAGTGTTAGAAGTTGGCATGTACTAGCTCTTCGACTTGACAAGCTTGTCATCGCCTCAATCTCAGGTACAGCTTCACCTACTCGGATGGCTTGCGGAAAGGTTTCCTGGCGTGCAACAGTGCTTGGTCAGCCGCTGCTCCATCTAGGTTGGGCACGCCATGCCTTTTCATTTGAGCCTCCCAGGCTCTCACATTGTGGAGCAGCTGCACGTGGACAAGATCGCGGGGCGCTTCACGTGGACACGCGGCCTCCAGAGCGACGGCAAAGAGGCGCGCAACTGAACATAAGATATTAGATATTGCATCATAGCTGAGCACGATGCGACTGACTTCCCCAACAATAGAACGTGAAAGTAAAGTAGTGTCTCGTGGCCTGTTCGCGCCTGTTTGCGCTTATTACCCTTCCTCCCTTTATTCAGGTCACATCCAAGCGGCAAGGCAGCTCCTATGTGATCTCCCACGTGCGTGGGACCAAGCACGCTGATGCGCACACGAGATATCGAGACATCTCAAGGCAAGGCAAGACAAGTCCCCTAAGGTCCAGCGTCCGGTTCGCAACTCGACTGGGCGACCCCAACTCGGAGTTCCTGAGCGCGGCGCACCTAACTTCAGACGCTTCGAGCTTCAAGATCTCCTGTGGATCTTGGGAAGGCTTCCGTAAACTTAGTGAACTGTATTTAGTACCAGCTCAGGTCGCACAGAGACAGCTGTTCAAACATCGTGCTGTTCGGACTTGGCTTAGCAGCAACGCGCCGTCGATATTGGGACTGCTTGCCACTCGGTGTGCACAAGCAAACGGTATCAAACCGGGTACTTCGCACTCAAGCAATGACTAACTGACTAACTGTGACCCAGCGCGTAGACACAAGAGAAGCTCGGAAAGGAGTATCAGTCGTCGCCACTCATCGTGCCTTGAGCGCTCCTAGACTCGAGTTTGCAAGTTGGTTCCCCCGGCTTCCTGCCCCGCAACATAAATGCCAGGCTTTGGCAATGCCACCCAACTTAGCTCTAGCACGATCTCGCATGTCTCACGGGTGCCAATGTGCAGGCCGTAGTCTTCAATGCTTTGACCGTGACTTTGGTATTGGCGGCGTGCCTATGCCACGCCACGTGGCAAGTCTTTCCTCAGGACTCTTGGCCCGCACTTCCATGGGAAGACGGTTTCATTGCAGTTAAACTCCGCTCGAATTCGCTGAAGGTTAAACATCCGCAGGTGACCCAGGCAAGTAAACATTTGCTGCTCTCATCAATGTCTCGGCACAGGCGGGCGATAGCTTCGACATGGGCAAAGGCACTGTCATGCAGTGAGTTTTTTCAAGCTTGCTGTGCAGTTAGCTCACTCAGCTGTGTGCGTAACGCTGTGACACTGGACACTGGACGTGCAAGGCCCAGATTCGGAAGCACTTGCAGCTGCTGCTTCTTTTGCAGCCGTCACGGTCGCTGGAATGAAGATATCAAAAGAAGGGCCATGTCTTCCAACGTTGCATGATGACCGTCTCGACCAGCCGTTGCAACCAAGGTACTTTCCGCCACGGTTGCAGGTCTCTTGACTGAATGGTCTCGCTGAAGTCTTGGCGTTGCCAACGCCATGCAGATGCCCACTATTATTCACTAGGAACCGTAAGCAGTTCTCTAGGCGTAGCTGAATCAGGAGCGAGATGCATCATGCAAGCTCATTGCAAGCGCACAACCCTTGCAAGAAATCCAGTCGTCGCCAGAAATGGCCATTGTTACATCACGAGCGTTTTTCCACAGGCGGCCGCCAGCGTGCAAATAAAATCCAAGCGCCTTCTCGATGAGGAGCAGCCGTGGAAGGGTCCACGAACATGACCCAATATGACACAAGACGACCCAATATGACCCGCTTACACCTGCAATCAGCAAGAATCTCTGAGCTCTTCGGCTCTCCTCAGTGCTTCCTCTCGAAGCCGCTTCGCATCACCCGGGAACTTGTGAAATTGGTCGAAGCCACATGATGTTGAAGCTGAGTTGCAGTGCAGCCCTTCCTCTCACGTTCCCTCACGTTCCCTCCCTTTCCCTGTTTCCGTTCGCTCATTTCCCACCGTCGTTTGTCCATGTCTACGCCGCTACTCTGCTCGATTTGTTGCAAAGGCTGGTGGCTGGGCATCTTCAGATGCAGATGCTGTGGCTTCAGGGCATTCGACCGTGAAACCATTGGCACCGCTACAAGGTTAAGTGCAAAGATCGCTGCCTGGCAGAGCCAACACTTTTGTTCAACGCTTTGTTTGCATGGAATTCCTGATCAAGTTGCATGGGGGGCGCTTGGTCTAGCAAAACTCAGGCTGCACGATGTAAGATCCAAAGGCTGCTGAAAGCCGTGCGCTGTCAATAAGCTGCGTGCGGCACATGTGACACTATTGGGGCGTTCATGTTGCCTTTTTTGTCGGAGGCCGCTCACTGGAGCAATTCTTGCAGTCAGCATACTCTGGCGTCTCGGCTGTGCAGATGTCCGCTTGCACGTCGGTGCTCAGCACTGTTGTGTTGGAGTTGGGCGATCCCGATCCTCCATGACGAGCCTGGTTCGCTGAGGTGCTTCTGTGTGCTGCTGCTGTGTCCCAATCTCAGAAGACGTAGGTTTACAGCTTACAGATGTTTACAGCATTGAGGCGAACGCCATGCAGATCGTGGGCATTGGCATTCTAAGCCTTCTCTTGCTCAGAAGCGACTCAGGTCCCATAGCTTATGGCCTCAGTCGTCGAACTCTTTGCCGTGGCCTTAGTGAGAAAGCATCTGAAAGAGCGAGAGTAGCTGCAAAAGAAGCAGATTTCTGAGCAGAGAGAGGTCTCTCATGTCATTTTTTGTGTCGCATGAGTTCGATGACATGTTATGATGTTACGTGTCGTGACTGAGGCGACGCAGGCAGCTGCAGCCCGGAGCCGGGCTCCCCTTTGCTCCCCACCTGCGGTGTCGGCCGTTGCCGGTGTGGGGGTTTAGCAGATCTGCCCGGTGCTTACTTGGCGCTCACTCGTATACGAATGTGTCATGGAATTCATAGAAGTCATAGAAGTCATAGAGTTGTAGAAGGCGAACGAAGGGCACGGCAGCCTCTGAGGACGTGCATCACAGCCAGCGCTGGGCAGGACTTGTCCCTGTGCAGAAACGTCAAACAGCCACTTTGCTGCAGCGAAAACCCAATCCCAGCGCAGAACGTGTTCAGCAAATCGCTAGGCGTTCGCAACATAGCGGTTCGGTGCAGCAACGGTTTTACAATTTTTCGTGGCCTAGGCCCATGTGTATCACTACGGGCAGTGACGAAACTGCAAGTGGTGTGCACTTGCCACTGCTGGCGTCTGCTGTCGGGTCGACAGCCGGGATCCGAGGGTACCGGGCAAGCGTTACATGCACATGCAGGAAAGCCATGATGGGGGCACATTTTGAATCAAGCGAAATATGTATACGCGTGTATACCGTATATACAAGATAGTATACAATAATACCGTACAGTATAGTCTGAAAGTATATAGTTTAAACAGCATCGCCTTCTCCAGAACATGTTGCAGTGCAGCTGCAGGGAGTCGCCATTCTGCTGGGCCTCGCCTGGCTGCTGAATGCATGGGGCATGTGCTTCAGCTGCACAATGTTTCAATGTTTTATACCGAAACATGAAGGCAGCAAGAAGCTGCAGTATAGTTAGCCACCTTTGGCAACCATCTTCAAGAGTCCCAGGTATGCCGGCTGGGTGAGGGCGTCAGACCCCTCAGACGTCGTCATGGTGCCTCAGGTGCAGTACCACAGGCGCGATGGTGAGATTATATTGATGTATTCAAGCTCCAGGTCTTTTCTGCACTCCGCGGCGCAACAAGTAACAAAGCTGCACAGTGTTCGACCCTGGGCCAGGTTCTCTGTGAACTTCCGATCTCGCAGCGAAGGCAAGCTGATCTTCACCCTCAGTGCGGAGGAGCGTAGCGTGACATGGCCGAGCAGGGCGTAGCTTAGCATGCTCATCTTATCCTTTGTGGGTACACAGGACGACCCGCACGGGGTAGCTGCTGCACTGATGCCTCCGGGCCCACCTCGGGGGCGAGCAGGACTGGCTTTCACCTTAGGAGATCTGTAGAGCAGAGGGCATCGCATCTCAGTGGAGCGAGGTGACGTCCATGTTTGTGCATTCACCATGTGTCAGCCTTTTGTGGCTGAGGCCGTGATGTACCAGGCACCAGACACAATGTTGGGCAGCTATGTGCCAGGTTCAGGTGCCTCGGCAGAATGACCGACTTGCCAAGTTCATGTGCCTAGCCCCGACTGGGCATGGCTAGGCCAAATCACCAAAGCATACCAAAGCCTTGCAGTGCTCCAGGCATAACAGGCTCCGATTGGGGCGGAGGCTACACTGGCTATTCGCAGCCTCCAGCAGGTGTTTCACTGAGTGACCAAGTGATGGCAGTCCTTGTTGCAGGTGAGCTGTGAGGGTGTCACAGTCAGGCCACAGGAAGTACAGACTTCAGAAATCTGTCTGAGGCGTCGCAGAGCAAGAGCCGCACTGGTGCTGAGATCCTTGCATGAGGATCCCGAATTCATCTTATGGTTTCACTGCGCAGAGGTCATGCAAGGGCAGGCGATCTGTACTCAGAAAGGGCAGCCGTACGATGATGGGATGGATTTTTCACATCCACGAGAAGAAGTCAGGCACAGCTCGCGCACACCGGACACGCACGAAACAATCGTAGCTCGTACTCCAGTGTCCAGGAGGCTTGGTCCAGCCCACTCCAGATCCAAAGCGATGATTCTTGTTGGGATCATGTGGTGGAATGGAGTGATCTCAGTGCTCTCTCAAAGATCATGGTGTGGGCTGGCTGGGAAAAACTCGTGCCTCACGCCCCAAGGGCCGGGCATGTCTCAACAAAAGAGTCACATTGGTAGCAGTCATCCTGGTCTATGAAAGTTCATCATTAGTCCGCATGGAAAGGTTGAATGTGTGTGAGCGCAGAACTCATTCACTGTTGATGTTTGATTCATGTCATGGCGACGGAGAGTCGCATGTGGAAGTGATTACTCGGAGCAGCAAAGACAAGCGATGGAACCGCCCGCTGCATGCATGCCTTTCAGACTATTGTTGCACGGGGCCATCGCTCGAACGTTTCACTTGTTCATGCCTCAAGTTTGTTATTCAGCAGAAACTTGCACTTCAGGAGCCGGCACAAGTGAATTTCTTCGTGCCTATGTTAGATTGATTGGTTTGGGATTGGGTTTGGGTCCAGTTTCGAAGGCAGTGCGAAGAGACTCCCTCGAAGCAGCGTCACAAAAGCGATTTCGTTTGTATGTGTGCGTGCGCCCGCCTGTGCCAACTTTGCTGCGAGCACCTGTTCATAGCCTAGACCGGACGAAGTGGATCAGGAGTGGCGGGATCCATAGCAGCGAGGAGCTCGGCAAAGTACTGGCTGGCCACTTGAGCGACCGGCTAAATTGCGCCAGACATTAGCAGATTTGCTATGGAAGCAAAGTGATCCAGATATCAGGAAGCGATACCTAGCCCAAACCCCAAAGGGGATGCTCTCAATGCGATGTCCCCATCGTAGCCACTTGAGTGGCCCATCGCACACTTCCAGGAACTGTCGAGATGCTTGAGTCACCAGATCGGTCCTGAACTCAAACTGCCGTTCAGACTCCAGCAGTGGCCGAAGCTGAGGCCATGACCGTGGCCTGGCCAGTATGGATCGTATCTTCCATGGCGAATTTGGACAATGCCTGGCCGAGCCCCCGAATGCGAGCAGCCGCTGAAATTTCTGAAAGCCGAGGAAAGCACATGCAGACAAAAGCATGCGTACATCGGGTTGTCAAAACTGTCTGCATGTTGCAGCAGCATCTGAGGCTCGTGGGCGTTGAGCGCGCGAGGATTGGCGGGAAATGCCTGGCTCAGGTCTTGGCTGACAGGCCGCTGGCCCCCACACTTCCTGCAACGCAAATGCCTGATAGAGGGGCGTAATGCTACAATGCTTGCGTGTTCAAGTGCTTGCAATGGAAGGCAGACGGTCGGACAGCGTCCAGTAACATTGATTGGCCACTCCATGGGCAGCACTGGCCTGATTGATGATGTAAAGGGATTATGTGCTTATGAGCTATCTTCTGCAATGTGGAGCTGTTGGCCTAAAGAACGGCGCAGAGCCTCTGGCCGGTTTTTGAGTTAGGACCCCCTTCGCCCGTTTTAGGCTATAGGCACCACTAGCCCCACCCCCATATCACATCCCCTATCCCAACCCTAGAATACCATCTTAGGAATACTCCAACATCCCTATCCGGGTGCCATAGCCTAAAACGGGCAAGGGGTTCCTTGTAGAATTTGGTTCAGGGTTTAGGGTTAAGGGTTTTAACTACATTGTAATTATAATATATAACTGCTTATGTATTATAATTACACTATAACTACGCAGTTTCTGGTTTCAAATGCGGTGGTTTGTTAAAATGTCTTGACCACATCGGAGGCAAGTAGCAAGAACGGCAAGTGTTACAACAATAATGTTCTTTGCCGTTTATTTCTCTGATAATATCTGGTTTGGGAACATCTTTCTCAAAGTCTGGATCATTTAGCTTTTGTAAATAATACTGGTGCGTTTGTGACTTTTCGTGTTGGGCTTGTTTGTATTTCTTTATTTCGTAATTACAAACAGGGCACATGACGACTTCGTCTTTGATTTTGTTCAGGTGGTTCTGTCTCCACTCTTTAACTTTTTCGGGGTTTTGTGCTCTGTATTCTCTCTTTTGTTCCGCTATTTGTTGCTTATGTGTTTGACCATATCGTTTTGCTTTGTCTCTACATACGTTACAAGTCTTGTAGTTCTCTTCAAACTTTTCAATCTTCTGCATTATTTGACACTTACTGCAAAATCTCCTTCCTTCCATTACTCAATATAAATAGGTGTCATTTCTTTAAGCGTGTATCCAGCCCAGTGTCTAAACATTCAGAACAAGTCGCAATGTATTTAACATAATAGTAAGAATGCTTACCAGCGTAATAGCAACGCTTAAAACAATCAATATTTTTGTCTTGCGTACAACGATAACACTTCCTAGTAACAACATTATTTGTTTCAGTATATGCTCATGTTTCCTTGGGGTTCGTGTTTCCCGACCCCCTTTCTCTCAGGATGTTTCCCGTAAGCCCCCGTGAAACGCACCCTCGGGAAACATGCTTTCCCCCATAGAAATTAGGGATTTTTGGGTGCGATGTTTCCCCACGGGTTGCGTAATGTTTCCCCACGGGTTGCGGGAAGTTTCCCGACGGGTTGCGGGATGTTTCCCGACGGGTTGCGGGAAAACCTATAGACAAACAAACAAGAAACACAAAACACTCAAAAACAATTTTCAAAATCAAGGGTAGTAAACTTTTAGGGTTTAGGATGAACACCAACCGTAACATTATAATATTAATAATGTTATGCTTGTTTAATCCATTAAGTCAAAACCGGAATAATTCATTAAATTATCATTGGTCAATAATGATGAATTTTAACCATTCCATTAAGTCAGGAAAGACATGTCGCTTATTTAGATATGTAATAATCATTGAAAATATTCTTAGATAATGATACAAAAAATATTTCAATTCAATGTCATCTTGGTCATCACTATATTCACCATTGTATGAATCTACTAATATTTCTTTTAATTCCTTAACTTTCTCCTCATTAAAATAATGGTTATACGCATCTTCAAATTTATTGTGTATTCTTTTATTATATAATTCAGTGTATTTGGCATAAAAACTATGTTCGTATTCTTCTATTTCATCTTTATAAACATTACCGTAAATTGTTACAATACAATAATTAGTATTATATCCACGTAAGACATTTAATATCACATCTCTGTATGTAGGATAATCATTGTTTCCAACTAACCCATATATAAGAGTAGAAACATCATACTCTAAATATCTCATTCTATCAACACAATTAGAACAACCGATATATGAAAAAATATTCTCATTTACGCCTTCAGAAAATAAACTGAAATTATTTCTAAGTTGGTAATGTATTAATTTGCAGTTCTTACAGTTTTGCATGTCATCGTTTATTAATTTACGACCACGTGCGATTTCTTTATCAGTATTATAATCTAGTGTTACAACGCTTTCGCTATCAATCATTTCCACTATAATATGTATAGTCGCTATTTCTTTAGGTGTTTTTCTTAAGAAAATGTTTTATCAAAAGAAAATTAAACTTTTAACAACTCAAAGCGTAAATAAGCCCTATCATTCCCTGATACATAATAATATTTTTGACCCAGTTTTTCGTCAATTTTTTCTATGGTATAAACATTTTGCGACCAATTTGATACACGTTCTTTTTCATTGGGCTTCCTCTTCCTAAATATTTTGACTTCATCACCAACACTTAATTCAGGATAGACCCGATTTCGTTTAGCATTCATATTTAAGTGCAGTTTAACTTTTAATTCGTTGCTCGGTTTTCTGGCATCCTTTGGGGTGAATCCAGTAGCGGAATGTTTCATTTTATTATTGTATGTTAATAAGATTTCAAAAATATAATCCGGCCACTGAATATTATCTTTACCCTTTTTCTGATCGGCTTCAACACGACGATATAATAAATCTTTGAACGTCCTAATGGCTCTCTCGCTGAAATTTGGGTGCGCCCTAGTCCTGTGATGTTCTATGTTCTGTTCCTGTAAATACGTTTGTATTGCCTCCTTGTTCATTGCTCCCTCGTCGTCGGTATAAATTATTTTTGGCTTCTTCCCCATTTTATGTAAGCATTCAATCATCCCACTCGCTAAATCTTCTTCCTTCTTACCGTTAATTGCCACGACATGCATAAACTTATCAAAAATATCAATCATTAACATTCCTACTCTAAATTTTTGATCTTTCAAGTCATTAATAAAAAACAAATCCATCTGATACTCGTATGCTGAATGGGGGGCGACAAAGCTATTTGAACCGACGGGCTTTCGCTTTTGATCAACATTCTTTCTAAAAAACTCGTTGATATCAGACATTGCGATGGTTTTATCTTTCTCCCGCGCTTCTTCTAATGTGCGGTTCTTACTACCGAAACCGCTTCTATCGTAATAAACCTTGCTAATTATATCATCTTTACTAGAACTACTCATTATAGTAAAGATGACATTTTATTTGTTTCAATCTTGTTTCTGTTGCTCTAAAAATAGTTGGTGCTTCATACTTCGGAAATGCCTGGCTCTAACATTCCAGACACATGTGGCGCCACACTCGCATGTAAAGGGTCTTGCCTGTTTTGCCAAGATCGTGCCCTTATTGGCTTCGTAACGCTGTTTGCGATACTTCTGAATTTCTTCTTTGTGATCTTCTATGTATTGCTTACTTTTGGAAATAATATCTTCTCTATGGTCTTTATAATATTCTTTCTGTTTGTTTTTGAAATACTCGCTATATTCATCGTGATACTCCTTATGTGTTCTTCCTGCTACTTGTTTATTTACACACTCGTTATTCTTTATGTGTTCTCCTTCTCTTCTTAAGAGTTGCTCCTTGTTCTCGCACGGGTAGTCC